ATTTTGCATTTTAAGAAATTGTGGAGCTAAAGCAAATGATATTTAATGGGGACCCCCAATTTCATAGAAATTTTACTATCTAATAAAGACAGACTTGAAAACAAGAAAACAAAATAGAAAAGCCAAAATACAATAAATAGAGCCTACAGCCCACAGAATGGGAAAAGATATTCACTAACCCCATATCTGACAGAGGGCTAATCTCCAAAATTTACAAAGAATTCAAGAAGCAAGTCTCCAAAACACCAAAGGAGCCGATTAAAAAGTGGGCTACAGAGCTAAATAGAGAATTCTCAATAGAGGAGTCTAAAATGGCTGAGAGACACTTGAGAAAGTGCTCAACATCCCTAGCCATCTGGGAAATGCAAATCAAAACAACTCTGAGATATTATCTTACTCCTGCCAGAATGGCTAAAATAAAAAAAAAAACAATGACAGTTTATGCTGGAAAGGTTGTGGAGAAAGGGGAACACTCCTCCACTGCTGGTGGGAGTGCCAACTTGTATAGCCACTTTGGAAATCAGTATGGAGATTCCTCAGGAAAATGGAAATCAGTCTACCACAAGACCCAGCAATTCCACTCTTAGGCATATATCCAAAAGATGCACATTCATACAACAAGGACATCTATTCCATTATGTTCATAGCAGCATTATTTGTAATAGCCAGGACTTGGAAGCAACCTAGATGCCCCTCAACTGAAGAGTGGATAGAGAAAATATGGTACATTTACACAATGGAGTAGTATTCAGCAGAAAAAAAAAAACAATGGAATCCTGAAATTTGTAGGCAAATGGATGGCACTAGAAGAAACCATCCTGAGTGAGGTAACCCAGTGACAAAAAGGGAAACATGGCATGTACTCCCTCTTATATGGATTTTAGACATAGATCTGGGGAGTGCCAGCCTACAATCCCATGGCCAGAGAGTCTGGGGAACAGAACCTTCATCCAATGGCTGATGGAAGCAGAGGCAGATTCCCACAGCTAAACACTGAGCTGAACTCAAGGAACCCAGTGACAGAGAGGGAGGACTGATGAGCAAAGGGGTTAAAACTGGGCTGGTTTAACCCCTAGAAACAGCTAACCTGACAAGGGTTAGCTCTTGAATCCCAGATTGATGGCTGGGAATCCAGCATGGGACTGATCAAGACCCCCTGAATGTGGGTGTCAGTGAGGAGGCCTAGGCAATCTACTGGGCCTTGGGTAGTAGATTAGTATTTATTCCTGGCATACAAATGGACTTTGGACTCCCATCCAACAATGTGAGATGCACTCTCAGCCTGGACTCTTGGGGGAGGGTCTAGGCCCTGCCCTGGATGAAATGACAGACTATGGACACCCCCATGGAGGGCCTCACCCTCCCTGGGGAAATGAGGGGCTATGGGGGGATTGGAGGGAGGGCATGGGAGGAAGGAAAGGGAGAGGGACCTAGGATTGATATGTGAAGCAACCTTGTTTCTAATTTAAATTTAAAAATAAATAAATAGAGCCTATAAAATTCCCATTTTGCCTATAAAAGGAGGCCTGAAAAGTTAACCCACACCGTACTCTCCAGCCCCACTTAGGAGAGCCAGTCCTATGCAGAGTAAATATGCCTGCTTCATTGGTTTTAATTTGGATGATGATTTCCATTCTTACTTGGTAGGATCAACACTGCCAAGACAGGTGTGACTGTTGTGGGGAGGCAGGGGAGGCCTGAGAGTCACCTAAGCAAACTCAAAATGGAGTCAGAATAAGATGAAGTTGGCTTAGTCATTTCAAAGAGACTGGAGTTATCAGTCCCAAGGCCACTGTGGGCTCTGTCTGGGACATACTTGAAATCCTTTGTGGGAAGAATCTGTGGCCAACCTCTTATGTCCCTTCTCGTCACCTCTACTCCTTCTGTCTACAGGGCCCTCCTGTTCTGTTGCTATGATTTTCAAGATGTTGCTGGAGGGGCAAGGAAGACTGGGGCATTAAGCTCTATGACCCAGCAGCCTCATTGTGGACAGGACTCAGCGAAGGTCTTTGACTAGAGCCTCCGCATCTGCTCCTGCCCGGAATCATCAGAAGGTTAAAAGCCAGAGGGGAGATTTGTGCGAAGTTCCTGTTTCCCGACAAAGCAAACAAGGCACAGTGACCACATCTCTCTAGGAATAATGGAAAATGTGTGTGTAATAGCAAACAGTAAGACGAAATGAATCATTATGCAGATTCCAGGGGTGCATAGGAATAGGAGGCAAACGGATTGATGAAGTAAGTGTTCATGGTGACCAAGGGTGGAATCAGAAGAAACAGCCTGCTCATCTAGAATTGAAACAGCCTAGAAAGGAAATCACAGAACCACAAACTCCAAAGGCTGCCACAAAAGCACGCGTGAAGACATATTTCTAACGTTGCTCTCATTTGAAGATGCCTAAACCAGGAAAGATAGGTAGGTATAGCAGAATTAGGACATCAGTGGTTTCTGGTGGGGACTTTGTGTTAACAGGAATGGTAGGTGAAGGCAAATGCCATGTCTGCTTCATGTGAATCTCCGGTAAAGCTCTTCTCACATTAGTCAACACGCCAAAGCTGCCTATTTCACCTGGTGGAAAACTATTATAGGACTTGGAGTATAGTTAGTTGCAGAGCACTGAACTTGGTTCCACTCTCAGCAACATTAAAATATAAAGCCATATACAATGTTTATTAAGCATATTTGTAATTTTGATAATTATGTATAATTTCTTTTTCCTTTTTCATGTTGTGTGCAGGTGTATGTACAAATGTTTTTGCACGTCTATGGCTGAGTGTGCTGTGTATATACACGCATGTGAATTCCGGCCAGAGTTAATCATCTATTACTCTGTCATCTTATTCACGAAGTCAGAGTCTCTCAATCAAACACAGTGCCTGCTGATTCAGCTCTTCTTGCTAGCTAGTTTCCCTTGAGGCATCTAGGTGTGTGCATTCTGAGGCTGGAATTAAAGGCAGCCACACCCATCCACAACATACTTAGATTTCTGGGGATTCAAACTCCAGGCTTCGAGCTTGCCTGGCAAGTGCTATAACTGCAGAGCCATGTACCTCCCTCCAGCCCAATTATGTACAATTTCCATTAAATTGTGGGGTTGGGGATGTGACCGCTGGCAGAGCTTGCCTGGCATTCATGACCCCTGGGTTCCATCTTTGGCTCTGTATAAAAGGCATGGTGGGCAGATGGTATTTGTCCTCCTCGTACTCTTGAGGTGGAAGCAAGAGGATTAGAAGTTTAAGATCATCTTCAGCCGGGGATGCATGAGACCCTGTATAAAATCAGACACACACACACACACACACACACACACAATTGAGTAAGCATTACTGGCTGCTTTGTCATTAAATGTGTGAAGCAGTTGTAGTCAGTTCTTTGCGAGGTTTAAAGTATCTTAATTTAGAGATGTATCAAACAATTGACCATAGGTAATTTTCCACGGTAGGGACGACACCACCAAATAACTCTTTGCATTCACTCTAGAGAAGTGTCCTGGAGCAACTTTAAAACCGCAAAGCATGTGAGAGTGAGGCTATGGGAAACAGATCATCTGTATGTGACATGTCCATGTCACACACGCGTGTGGGTTCTTTCATGATCCCTGTGGCCATTGTAATTTTCATTGGCCATTAAATGTTAGACACTACTGTCTGGTTAATTATGAAATGTGTCCCATGTCCCTAGCTCTCTCTTACAGACTCAGATTTATGACAGTGGGTATTTCATTTGGAAACTACAGATATTTATTAGAAAAAAAAGGATCGTGGGTGCTCATCCCTCTACCTCAGCAGTCCTTACTCCCAGTGTCATCCACGCTGACACTGGGATTTCCAGAGGTGAGGGAGCCAGGGTTATATTCTGTTCATGAGGATGTAAAGGAGATCAAACTGTCTGGTTTTGAAAACTACTTCTCCAATATATATGTACATACTACATATATAATTTATATGTCACTTCTCATCCCCTCCACACACTCCACAAGTAATTGAATTGATTTTTTCACTTTTAAATGGAGGTAACAACAGCACCCACGTCTAGGCTAGCATGAGGAAAAAGTGAGAAAATATATAAGAAGAGTGATCGCCTGGATATTAGCAACATACAAATATAAGTTAGGGTCATAAAAAAGTTATGGTCATAATGGTTAGAAATTAGCAGTAACCTGCATGTGCCTGAAGAGAAGCTGGTGAAATAAATTATGGTGCATTCATGCAGCAGAAAACCATGGTAAGAAAATAGTGTAAGAATTATGAAAGCAGTATTTGATGGAATCTCAGTAAATTGAGGCTTACCTGTCTCCCTCAGGACACCCAGAATTCTTTCCAGATCTTTCTTCTTGGCATTCATGTGTGTCAGCCAGCTACCCCACTGTAGCGATCTTTAAATCTCAGTGGACTAGCTGGGTGGTGGTGGCGCACGCTTTTAATCCCAGAGGCAGAGGCAGGAGGATCTCGGTGAGTTCGAGGCTGGGCTGGACTGACAGCCTTCAAAACAATACAGAGAAACCTTGTCTCATAAAAACAAAAAACAAACAAAAATCTCAGTGGACTACATCAGTGAGCATCCATTTCTCATGCAGGCTTGCAGGCAACCGGTCCAGCTCTGTTCCAGACTACATGGCTAGCACAGTTGGCTCCGTGCTGTGGATGTCTAGCCAGAGAAGGCTCTAGCCTGCTCATCACAGAAGCAGCCGCGTGGGAGAGACGATGTTATGCTTTCAGCTCAGATTCAGTTCAGATTTAGCATGAGGTTCCCATCCACCTTTCTTTGGCCAATGGAAACCAAGTGGATTAGTCGCAGTAGAGAGTCAACATGGCATCTTTACCTGCTCGTGATGCCGCAGGAGCAGCATGGGGCCAAGGCACTTAGCAGCTCTCACCATTATTCTCCGCCTGCCAGTGAGACTGCTGTTCAAGGTGATCACCCCGCTTTCTGTTTAACTGTCTTTCTCTCCTAACAGAATCCCTAGAATCAGTAGATCTTACAACCACTCTGACTGAGGGCACATATCCTGACTTGAACTGGGAGCCCCTTTCCTAGGGATATTCTTGTCCACTGGTCTAAGTTAATTTTCTTTGTAGTGATATTGACAGTAAGCATTTATTTTCCTTGGATTTAGCCTAAGTGCTGTAAATCCAGAGTATCTTTCAGGAAGATGGTTTATTTACTGCACTTTTCACTGCTGTGGATGGTTGATTCTTCCTGTGTGCCCCGAGGAACAGAGGCTGGTTTGTGTTAGGGGGACTCTTCCCATATCTCTCAGAGGCTGATGTAAGAAGTTTCTGGACCCAAATGATAAAAATATCCAGTCCGTGAACCAATCTTAAAATGGAGCTTCGCCAGAGTCATTTCTTAAGAAATAAAATACTGCAGGAAGAAAATAATCAGAATGGAGTGTCAGTAAATTTGGAGTCCTCCCAGTGATTCTGAGCATTCACGAAACCAAGTGAGCAAACAAACTCAGGACAGAGTTTAAGACACAGAGCGGTGGGTTCTGGGCTTTGAGAATGGAGAAAGCTTACTTTAAAAATCAGGGATGGAAAGCCAGGAGCCTCGGTTCACAGTTTTAATCTTACCACTTGGGAGGCAAAGGCAGGTGGAGCTCTGGAAATTCAAGGCTAGCCTGATCTATGGATGAGCCTCAGGCTCTCAGGGCTACAGTGAGACCCTGGAGAGCTGTGAGAGGGATACGTAGCTGTGCTTGGTGGCAGCCGGCTATAATCCTAGCACTTGGGAGGTAGAGGCAGGAGGATTAGGGGTCAAGGTCATCCTTGGCTACATAGTAAATTTGAGGACAACCTGGGCTACAGGAAACCCTGTTACCGAGGGGAAAACAACAACTAAGGATGTATTTTCCAGAAAAAGGAACGCAACCGTAATGCGAGTGGGCGGAAGTGGCATTTCCTTCCTCTTTTCTAACCCTGGTTCCTAGCCTCTGGTAGAACCTCTTCAATGCCTTACACATTACAGACTTCTGCCAGCTGGAGGTGACATGTGGCTCCTAACAACCCTGCTCCTTTGGGGTAAGTTGGGCTCAGGGCGGCTTGCTCGGGGACTTGGCTTCTGGCCAGGTCAAGACTTTTTGTCATCATTTGGTTTGTTAGCCTAGAACTCAAGTCAGGCTGCTATATCAATGATCCAATAGCTTGTTGGTGCTTATTTCCAAAGGCTGGGAAGGTGAACATCCCAGCATTAAGCTGGCAAGCCTCCTTCAGTTTAAATAGAGACAGCATCATGAATAGCCGTCCCTTCGGCTGGCCCTTGATTTTGGGAAAGAGGATGGAGAGTCTCTCAGGAGACTGGGTCCTCCTCAGAGTTGTCATGAATTCTCTTCCCATTCTCCCTTCATCATCATTGTCTTCTAGTCACCAACTGATATCTGTGTCTCTGATCTCTTGCAGTTCCAGTCGGCGGACAAGTGGGTGAGTGACATCTCCATCAACTTCCCATCTTCTGTTGCTGTCCCGCATTCAAAGGGTGGGCTCTGTGAGCCTGGAGGGAGAGCACAGCAAGACCATTTCTGTATTTAGAGTGGGGTTTCTGAGTGAACCCTGGCTGCTGAACTAAATACCTAGATCAGTGGTTTTCAACCTTCCTAATGCTGTGACCCTTTAATACAGTTCCTCATGCTGTGGTGACCTCCGGTCATAAAATTATTTTCATTGTTACTGCATAACCGTAACTTTGCTACTGTTAGGAATCATAATGTAAATGTCTGCGATCTCTGCTGGTCTTAGTTGACCTGTGAAAGGGCCATTTGACTTCCAGAGGGGTCACGGCTCACAGGTTGAGAAACAATGGCCGAGTGAGCTCAGAAAAGCACAGATTTGTGGAAACCCAGAAGTCACCCTGCCAGGCTGACTTTTCTGCTGGCTCCCTAAACCTGTCCCTTTCCTAAGAACACAGAGATAGGTTTTCCACCTCAGACAGGAAGGCTTCAAGGGCTTGAGCCTCAGTTTCCAATGAAGGAGTGTGCCCCACCCCAAAAAGACAACCTAGCACTGAGTGTAGGGAAACCGGCTCAAAGCAGTTTGCTCTGGTTTGAAACCCGACTGATTTCATCACCAGCAACCAGATCCTAACACCTGGACTGGGGTCAAATAACCCAGAACTCCCACAGCAGAGTCCAGGTGCTTAAAGGCTGGCTGGTTTCCTGGGTTTCCACTTGCTAATTTTTTTCAAATATACATTTTCCCCCTTGTGCTAGAAATACTTTACCAATCACTCACAGTTCTTGCTTTAGCTCCACTTAGGGTTTTCTCTGCTGTTGTTGCCCTCTTTTCCCTACAGTAAATGTCACAAAGGCTGTGGTCACCTTGCAGCCTCCTTGGGTGAGTATTTTCCTGAAGGAAAATGTCACTTTATGGTGTGAGGGGCTCCACCCACCAGGAGACAGAACCACCCGGTGGTTTATCAACAGCACAGCCCTTCAGATCTCCACGCCTAGCTACAGTATCACCGAGGCCACGCTCAAGGACAGTGGTGAATACAGGTGCCAGACTGGTCTCTCCATGCCAAGTGACCCTGTACAGTTAGAAATCCACAGAGGTAAGCATGGCTCGGGGCAGGAGGGCTGGGCATCCCAAGGTCCTGCTCTGTGTGGGTGCCAAAGTACTCTCTGTGTATCTCTTTCTCTTTGAGAATATGTGTGATATTCTATTGATCTGAGTGAACATGTGAGCTCTAAGGACCTACCAGGTCAAATCTAGTCAGTATAATTAAAACACCACATTAAGGTCCTGTGCATCCATAGCATCCCAGGTGGGCCAGTTTTGGATACAATGTCTCAAGGAAAATCTCAGACTCTAATACTTTGTCCAAAATTGATGCCAACTCACCTCTGACTTCATCAACAGCAGCTCTTCTGAGTCCTTTTTACTGTGTCGTTCTGACCTTGTATAGTGGCTTCACACTGTGGTCTTAATTTATATTTCTTTTGTGATTGTGGTATTAACCGCTTTTAATGTGTTTAAGTACCTGGTACATCTTGTGGCCAATGTTTCTTTTAAAAAGATTTGCGTACGTGTGTGTGTGTGTGTGTGTGTGTGTGTCTGTCTGTCTGTCTGCCTGTCTGTCTGCATGTCATATGTGCAGGTACGTACCCTTGATGGTCACAAGAGAGTGCTGGACCTCCCAGAACTGGAGTCTCTGGCAGTGGGAAGTGAACTCAGGTCCTCCAGAGCAGTGGTTCTCAGCCTTCCTAAGACTGTGACCTTTGATACACCTCTTCATGTTGTGGTGACCCCCCAAACATAGAATTGTTTTTGTTGCTACTTCATAACTGTAATTTTGCCACTGCTATGAATCCCAATGTAAATATCTGTTGGGAGATAGAGCTTTGCCAAAGGGTGGCGACCCACGGGTTGAGAACAGCAAGCACTCACGCTTAATGGCTGCCCCATCTCACTGCTTCTCCCTCTGGCTGGCCGCATTAGCTCAGAGGAGTTCTTTATAAATTCTGGGTTCCTCCAGTGTGGTGAATTTCTCTATGGCGTGCCTTTTCAATGGTCCCCCAGCCCCACAAAAGGAACAAAAGTTCTTAACTGTCATCTAACACATCAGATTTTCCGGTTACTGCTCTCTCTATCCTATTTATAAAACGTGTTGCCATGGTTATGCGACAGTGGAAGACTCCATCATGGTTACACGGATGCTTAGTCACTTTCAGTCAGTCTGGGGATGCTAAAAATCTAAGACATAGTCTGTCTGGTAGGTGGACAGGGAGAGGGCCACCTAGGGGATGAAGCTGGCAAACTTCCAAGATGTTTGGCTTCTTCCTCATCCTCTTGGTCTGAGACAAAGGCCAGGCAGCTTTAGAAAGATCGGGTCTGGGGGCTTTGTTTGTTTTCTTCCATCAGTTGGGCCTCTGCAGATGGAGCAGCCTAGGAGTTCAACAGGATCTGAATATGCTAACATAATGGTTGTGAGCCAAGCAGCTACCAATCCTAAATTAGGGGAGAAAGACTCATCAAAGGCTTAAAAACCCCTGGCCATTGAGACTGGATTTATTTTATTTCATTTTATTTTGGGACAGGATTTGTCTGTGTAGCCCTGGCTCTCCTGGAACTTGATCTGTAGACCAGGCTGGCCTTTAACTCATAGAGACCCACCTGCCTCTGCCTCCTGAGTTCTAGGACTAAAGGTGTGGGCCACCACCACCTGGAGACTGGATTTTTATTTTAGTTCTCTGCCCCCCTCTGCTTTGGAGAGGGTCTCTGTGGGCTTGCTGTGTGCAGAGGGTCTCTGTGGGCTTGCTGTGTGTGCATTTTTGCACCTCGGGTAAAAAGTCTTTTTCACCAGCTAATACTGTCTGATGTGTTAAAAACTCTCCCTGCTGTTATCTGTTGCCCTCAAGAATTTTTCCTGCCTTTTAACTGGTAGAGGAAAAAAAAAAAAAAACAAAAACGAAAAACAATAGAGACCCCGGGACCAAGAAACTGCAGCTGGTCTGTGGGTTCAAGTTCTAGTCATGTGACTCAGAATGAGGGTCACTTTCCTTCAGAGGCAGTGAAGATGGGGACGAGCAATGTTTGAACAGGAAATTAGTAAACTATGTCTGTATCATGTTTTGATATGAAATACCCCCAGTTAGGGTAAGAAAAAAAAAACATGCACATTTTCTCTAATGGGTAGAATCTAACCAAAACATATGTAAACAAATATACATTTGGGTACAGTATAACACAAGGAAAGAGAACAGGAAAGAGGTCGTTGGGCTGGAGAGATGGCTCAGCTGTTAAAGGCTCACAACTAAAAATACAAGAGAACAAGAAAGGTAATATTAGAGGACAAGGAAGTACGGACTACCGGTGAAAGACACACACCATGAAAGAGGACAGAAAGCTAACTTTTTCTAGGTCTATCTCTGTTATGGAGTTTTCATTTTTGGTGATAGATAAGTACATAAAAATATACTCTGGCTGGGCGTTGGTGGCGCACGCCTTTAATCCCAGCACTTGGGAGGCAGAGGCAGGTGGATCTCTGTGAGTTCGAGGCCAGCATGGTCTACAGAGTGAGTTCCAGGACAGTCTCCAAAACAATACAGAGAAACCCTGTCTTGAAAAACCAAAAAAAAAAAAAATATATATATATATATATATATATATATACTCTGTAGTGACAGCATAAAACCCACAGCTTCCTTTCTGAATGGCTATTTTAACAAATATATAAAAGTCTATTGAGATATACATACCTGAGTCTGCTAATTCAGTGTGTAATTTTTTTCATATTTGTGTTTTGACAATTTCATATGGAGATATATCAAAATATACTGTGTTTCTGACATAAAGCAAAGACACTGGTCTGTCTGGGCAGTGTGAGGCTGAGTTTCAGGTCTTAACTGCATTTAGGAGAAACCTGGCAGTGTCTGAGACCACGGGCACCGCCACCCACTGCAGCGCACTGCCCATTCACTATCCCGCCTTCCCAGACTCCTCACCTCCATACGCCAGTAGTTAGATACAATCCCTTTCTACTGCAGCACAGTAGACGGCCACAATCCTACAGCCTCAAACACATCTATTATGCTTCAGTCTCCACAGGCTCTCAGCAGTCAGGGTGTTGACTAGACTGTGTTCCTTCGGGTCCCACTTCAAATTCACAAGTCACTGACAGAATTCAATTCCTTGTGGTTATAGGACTAGCATCCTCATTTTCTAACTGGCTGTCCATGGGGCGGGGGTGGTATGGACACTCAGCTCCCAGAAGCCTCTTACCATGTAAACCTCACAAGCTATATGTCATATCATGGTGGCTTACTGCTTCAAGGCCACCAGGAGCATCTCTATTCAACTTGCTAAGAAAGAGCCAGATATGGCAAATGTGTGTCATATTCTCTTGCCTATAGAAGCTGGACATAGCGGTACATACATCACATTCAAGAGGCTTTGCATATATGATTCATTGGGGTCATCTAAGAATTCTTTCTACCATGAAAAGTAAACTTTGTCTCAACTCATTTCTGAGTCCTGAGAAGGGATGATAAGAGGGGGCTAGTGTGCACAGATTCTAGGGAAGGTTGCTTTTCTTTCTGTCAAAGCTGAAGAGATTTGAAAGTAGAACTCAGGTGTGGGCCACAGCAGAGACCCGGGTTAGAATGTTGCAAATAGTAAAAGGTATACAAGCCTCCAAGACGTGTCCTCCTTGTACTTCCTCTGTTGCATGCAAACACTGTGGCCCTCCCTTTTCAGACTGGCTGCTGCTCCAGGCCTCTGACAGAGTCCTCACAGAAGGAAAGCCTCTGACTTTGAGGTGTCACGGCTGGCAGAGTAAGATGGTGTACAACGTGGTTTTCTATCGAGATGGAAAATACTTTCACTCTTCTCAAGACTCTGAGGTCACCATTCTGCAAACCAACCTGACTCACTCTGGTGTCTACCACTGCGCAGGCATAGGGAGACATTACCACCGCTACACCTCCGCAGGAATGTCTGTCACCGTGAAAGGTAGTCGGCCACCCCATGACCACTGGCTGGGCCAGAACCAGTACTGAGGTCTCCAAGTCCCTACCCATTGCTCTTTTTGGCATCCACAAAGGCCCGTCAGTGATCACAGGAGTGCATGTCCACATCAGGGCATGGCGACTATACACTTGGTCTATTCATTTTATCTGCTAAGGCCAGAGACTCACTCACTCCAGGTAGCCAGAGTTACCAGAAAATAATCCAGTCCAACCTCGTGACATTTCCACAGACGTCCCATAGAAACCAGGAAGACGTCAGGAATTGGTTTTACTTTCCATCTGCGTGTCAGGGATCATGTAGCCTCCCTGAACTCACTTCTCTTTGAGCTTCTGTAAATCAAACACTTTTCTCCATCCACTTTGCACAAGGTCTTTGTTTTAACTCTTTCCATGACTTACCTTCTTAGTGCTCAAACTCACTGGCAAGGTATTCCTGTGAGAAAAGTAGTTCATTTCTGTGGGGGAAGAAATTACTGTCCCAGCCTCTCTTTTGAATAGCAGAAGTAATGAAAGACTTGGTTGGCAAGTGTGTGTTAGTGTAGACTCTGGTTACTGCCATGGGGGTGGGTGTTTCATAATAAACACAGCCACACACAGAAGAGTGCCAGTGTAACGAGAAGCACCTCAGCTGGGGGCCAGTCGTGTCTATTAGAAACTATGCCTCTGTTGGAAGTGGGGGAAGCTCATTCTCCTGGGGAAGATTCACAAAGGGGAGTCTCATGGAAAGGCCAGACGCTGAACGGAACCACCTTGTCTCCCGATGACTTTCTCTTTAGAGCTGTTTGCAACCCCAGTGCTGACAGCGTCCTTGTCATCTCCCTTCCCGGAGGGGAGTCCGGTCACCCTGAGCTGTGTGACAAAACTGCCCCCGCAGAGTCCTGGCTTGCAGCTTTACTTCTCCTTCTACGTGGGCAGCGAGACCCTGGAGGACAGGAAAACATCTGCCGAGTACCACATCCCAAGTGCTAAGAGAGAAGACTCTGGACTATACTGGTGTGAGGCAGCCACAGAGGACGGCAGCGTCCGAAAGCGCAGCCCTGAGTTGGAGCTTAGGACACCTGGTGAGTGCGGGGCAGTGGGGGCTCCCTTTCCTCCCCCATCGGAACGGGAGCCCCTGGTGAGTAGGGCTCCACACTTCGTTCGGTGCTGCCGTTTTCCTCCAGCTTCCCCTGAATTTCCTTCCCTTTCTTTCCCTGTCACTTTCCTTTTTCTTCTTTCCTTTATCCCATTCCTCCTCCTGCTTCCACTATCTGTCTCCCTCCCGCAGCTCCTTCTCAACTTCCCCTTCCCACCGCCCTCACCCGTCTCCTACAGAAAGCACTGACCGCCCTCACCCGTCTCCTACAGAAAGCACTATTAGGGCTGTCCTAGTTGGCTTTCTATGGCTGTGACGAAACACCATGGCCAAAAGCAAGCTGGGGAGGAGAGGCTTTACTTGGCTTACATTTCCACGGCACTGTTCATCATGACGGAAGTCAGGACAGGAGGTCAAGGGGGCAGGAACCTGGAGGCAGACGCCATGGAGGGGGCTGCTTACATGCTCCGCATGGCTTGCCCAGCCTGCTTTCTTACAGAACCCAGGACCAGCAGCCCAGGGGTGGCGCCGCCCACATGGGCTGGGCCCTCCCCCACCACTCACTAATTAAAAAAAAATCTCATGTAGCTGGATCTTAATGGAGGCAATTCCTCAGTTGAGGTTCCCTCCCTTCAGGTAACTGGTAACTTGACACAGCCAGACAAGGATGTGTGCTTTGATGATGGATTTACATGATGGCTTTACAGTTTGCCCTCATAGACGACGACACACTCTCGCGTCTGTATCTAACTGAATTGGAGGGTTCAAACATTAAAGATGCAGAAACAGCAATTGTCTCTGACTTTCAGGACAGTGTTAATATTCTCAGGGAGCCTGCGCCACCTGGAGGGCACATCTGGAATTGCTGGAAAGTTTCTTGTCCCTGAATTTACCTGCGGGGACACAGAGCCTTTCCCGGTCCTCCGCTGAGGAATTTTTTCTTTTCTCCTCCAGGTCCTCAGTCATCAGGCCCTGTCTGGTTTCACATCCTTTTCTATCTGTCAATGGGAATAATATTTTTGGTGGACACAGTTCTCTGTGCGAAAATACGTAAGAAGTTGCAAAGAAAGAAAAACTACAATTTAGAAGTCCTTTTGGTTTCTGATCAGGGGAAGAAAGAAACTTCCTCTTAGTAAGTCTGAAGCAATGATGTGTCCGAAGAAGAAAGACATTGCAAGACAGACCACACCAGCAGAGCCGGGCAGCTCAGTGGGTAGCTGCGGACCTGCCGCAGTGCTGGGGTACAAGCCTCCAAAAGCTGACTGACACTGAAACTGTGGCTCCGCGGCCTGTGACTCTTAAATAAAGGAAATATGCAAGCTGGCTTCAGTTGAGAGCAAGCTGGCGATCAGACGTTTGAAAGGAGACCTAAGCTGAAGGACTCCTGCTGTTTGGCCTCACAGAGCAGGGAAGCGGGAGTAGCAGGAAGTGAACCTCACAGGAAAAGCAACCCCCACCCAGCCCCTGCTCACAGGAACCAGCTCTGAAGGCTCCAGTCTGAGGAGTGGGGAGCTAGAGCGGTTGTGACATTCCAGAAGGAAGGGCTGTGCCTCTCCTCACGGGGTGGATGGTTTCAGGGCTCCCCAGGGAAAACCCGCGTGTGAGGGGAGCGGACACAGATACGGACTAGCACCATAGCCTAGGGTGACGCTGGGCTAAGGCTGGGCACCAGGAGAGCATCGCAGTTTGTGTTCTCTTTCCCACCGGCTCCTTTCATGCTTCCCCCCAGAGCCGCTGCCACGGGGCCTGGGGCAACAGCTAGACAGCGAGGTTGGCGGTGTGGGAGGTTGGGTCCATCCATCTAACCTCTCTCAGGTCCAGACATCGTTCCAGGCGGCCCACATGTGGGGCCTTAGCGGAGCTGTGGTTGAAGGCTTTGGGGCTAGATGCATGATCGTCTGATAAGCAGTCATCACCCTCCAGTGCCCTCATGGGGCTGCTCCAGTGTTCTCCTTCCAGGACTGCCCTGAAGCCGAGAACAGCGCCGCAACACTGACTGAAGGATGCCTCTTGGAAGGCACGGCTCACATGCGTAGGAAGACCGAATCCTAGGAACAAGGCGTAGATCGTACCCCACTTACTGTCGTCACTGCTGAGGAGCCACTGGAGGTCTCATGCCTCACATCTCTGGAACTCTAGGCTCTGCTAGGCTAGAGGTCCCCTCATGTCCCCAGAGAGGGTGTGGCATAGCATGAGTCTCATTGGGTGAGAACCATCAGTGGATACCAAGGGTACTTTAGAACTTTTATAGCCAGGGACCAATAGGCCCGAGAGGGACAGGGATAGTAGCCCACTGGAGGAGATACGCTGTTGCAGAATGCATGCGCAAATTGTCGGTATGAAAAACAATCTTAGAGTGGAGAGATGGCTCAGGGGTTAAGAGCACTTCCTGCTCTTCCGGAGGACTTGAATTCAATTTCTGTAACTGCTTATAACTCCAGCTCTAGGGGGTCCTGGTGCCGGCTTCTGGCCTCTTTCAAGCACTTACGCATGCGTGGCATAGAGACACAGACATATGAACAAAAACAATTGAAAAAAATCAATCTTAAAAAAACAAAACAAGCCGGGCGTGGTGGAGCACATCTTTGATGCCTGCACTCAGGAGGCAGAGGCAGACTGACGAGTTTGAGGCTGATTTGAGGCCAGCCTGGTCTACAGAGAGATTCCAGGACAGTCAGGGCTACACAGAGGAACCCTATCTCAATACAAACAAACAAAACCCCCAAAACACCACAGTTCTTACCCCAAAGAGATTAAGAGATATACATGTGAAAATACACCATAGCTCTTACCCCAAAGAGACTAAGAGATAAAATGTAAAAATAATATGAATAAGTCCCTAAAAGATTAAAGATGGCTCAGTAGCTAAAGAACATATGCTGCTAAAGAACATCATGGCCAAAGCAACTTACAAAAGAGAGCATTTAACTGGGGACTTGCTTCCAGTTCCCAGTATGAGGCCACGACCATCGTGGCAGGAGAAATGGTAGCAGGCAGGGAGGCAGGAACAGCACTGGAGCAGAAGCTTGTGGTCTTATTGGCACATTGGAGGCAGAGAGAGACAGAGACACAGAGAGAGAGACACACACACACACACACGAGAGGGAAGGAGGGGGAGAGAGACAACCATTTGTTTTAATGATAACAAAAATAAACAAAAGATAAACAATGGTAATAGCATATATATGTGTGTGTGTGTGTGTGTGTGTGTGTGTGTGTGTGTGTGTGTATAGTACCAGAAAGCAAGCTCGATACTCCTGAAAGATGCACTTTAATCACTTGCCATATCAGTGTTTTTTGTACATAGTTTATAAAGAAAACTATTCTTTGTCCTCTAACTGGGCAAGGGGACATCTTTGTTTTTTATTGTATTTTTGTGAACTATGTGTTACTGCTAAAGGGTCTGGATCAAGTTGTTTTGCTGTGAATTAAAGAATAAAAAGGCAGAAGAGATCTCTAGTACAACAAGTAGCTGCAAAGAGAATCTCAAACACAACAGCGAAAGCCATGGAGGAAAATATCACACACACACACCCCACATACCCCACACCACACCACACCACCCCACCCCACACCACACCACACCACACCTCACTTCACCACCCCACCCCACACCACACCTCACACCACACCTCACCACACCACACACCTCACCACACCTCACCACACCACACCACACACACCTCACCTCACCACACCACACACCTCACCACACCTCACCACACCTCACCACACCACACACCTCACCACACCACACCTCACCACACCACACACCTCACCACACCACACACCTCACCACACCTCACCACACCACACACCTCACCACACACCTCACCACACCACACACCACACCTCACCACACCACACACCTCACCACACACCTCACCACACACACACCTCACCACACCTCACCACACCTCACCACACCACACACCTCACCACACCTCACCACACCTCACCACACCACACACCTCACCACACCACACACCTACACCACACCTCACCACACCTCACCACACCTCACCACACCACACACCTCACCACACCTCACCACACCACACCTCACCACACCACACACCTCACCACACCTCACCACACCTCACCACACCTCACCACACCACACCTCACCACACCTCACCATACCTCACCACACCACACCTCACCATACCACCACACCTCACCACACCACACACCTCACCACACCACACACCTCACCACACCTCACCACACCACACACCTCACCACACCTCACCAGCCTGGCAGCAAGGAGAATCTCAAACACAGCAGCGAAAGCCATGGAGGAAAATATCTCTCTCTCGCACACACACACACACACACACACACACACACACACACACACACACACACACACACACACGCGCGCGCACACACACACACAAACGCGCGCACACACACACAAACGCGCGCGCACACACACACACACACACACACACACACACACACACACACACACACACCACACTAGCCTGGCAGCAAGCACTCACACAAAGACCTCCTGCAAAGCAGAGGGGGCACTTCCTCTCCTGGAGGACTAGGAACTCTCAGGGTCTTTGGTGGGAATGGGGGCTCCCTTTCCCTATTTAGGGTTGCTCAGTTTAGACAAAGAAAGGAAAGCTGATAAGCCCACAGCTTTGGGTAAATATGTCCAGGTCAGGCCTTGAGTTTACCTGACCAACATATGGTGGTGGGGGCAGCTACTGCGGGAGGAAAACCCGCCAGCCTTTCGTTTCAAGTAGCCAGGTCTATGTCTCTGGTCGGAGGGATGAAAAAGAAGCCGGGAGTTCCCCCGTTTTGTTTTTGCTTTTGCTCTGTTTTTGCTGCTAGTCTTCCACACGACCTGCATCTTAAATCAGAAGAGCTGACAAATGACAAGTGACTTCACCGGGCAACTTCCCTGACTTTTCAGCAAAGGGAGAGTTGGTAGTTACCTCATTTACCCATTATACCATCTATTTCTCTATTGCCTGCGGCTGCGTCCAGCCTCTTGACATTGTGGCACCTCCCAATCAGGTTACAAAACAGAAAGGCAATAAAGGTCTAGGGTTTAGATCCTTGATCGGCAGACACATAGGGGAGGTAACAGGTGATAAATATGGCAAACTACTTGCTTTTTTCACATACTCCTGACGGGGGTCAGACACCTAATGACCGGGTGGGCCTTTTCCTCCTGCCAGCTGGGCCCCGCAGTGCGGTCCAAGTTAAGGCTCAACTAGCACATGTTTATCTAGAACGGTGGGCCTACCGGTTTCTGATATTGACCAACCCTAAATTAGAGGAAGACCTCGTCAAAGATCCTCAAACCCCCATCCCTCCATGAGAAGCCAACTTCCTGAGACCACCCCCAGTCTTTCTGTGTGCCCTGCTGTGTTTTTCTTCTACCTAATAAAAACCTTTCTTCACCGGCTGATTCTGTCTGCTGTGTCTGGGATTTATTCTTTTGCTACCTGTCCCACAACATTTTTCCTGCCTTTAAATCCCTTAAGGTGGCAGAGAAAATAAACTCAGTCAAGAGTCTTAGATAGTAACAGAAAGAAGAGAAAGAAACAAAACAAAACCAAAAAAACCTCAGGGGCGACATGAGTCGCTGGCGCCATCCAGTGGTCATCTGTATACACTGCAGTCAGCGCGCTGTTGGGTTGCCATTAGGGTCCCACGTGACCCCAACTAGTGAATAGCTGCTTTTCCCCAGGTGGCAGAGGGTCGTGCGTTTCCGATTCCCCCTAATATGGGGAAAGGCACCCACTCGTTGGCGGACCAGCGTACGGTGATGACTCACTTCGCCTCTGCGCGAGCGCAGTAGCACGAGAGGGTGGCAGTCTCGGGGAGCGCGCAGCCGCAGAACTACGCAGCCCCGCGGGCCAGGCAGATCAGACCCACACGCGGCGCCCCCTGGTGGCCACCTTTGGGGCTCGCAGCCGCCGCCGTCTGGGAGAAGACGCAGTGAGCCCGCCTAGCCCGCTCCAAGACTTGGCGGGGAGATGCCAGCGAGCCTGCGGGAGGAGACTGCGACCTCCGGCTCCCCGTGTCCCGCATATATGGCCTCCTCTCTGGTTCCAGCATTGTCGGAAGGAAGGAAACCTGGGCCAGCTACGCCAGCGAGCGTGCAGGCAGGGACCCCAGTGAATCTCTGAGAAGTTTCCAGAACAGAATGAGGCGACCCGCATGGATAGGATGCAGCTGGTGGGGAGGAGAGTGGATCCATCTGCCTTTGGGGGGAGGTGTGGTTTGGTGATGGGGGTCTTCATTGCTAGAGGGTCTTGAGTTAACCTTGCAATTAATTACCACGCCTTTTCGTGATTGTGTACAAAACAGGCAATTAGGAGGATGCATCGTCAGGTCTTGTCATTTTCTGGGCTTGCTATGGAGAACCACAGACTCGTTCGGGGGGAGGGGGATCTAGGCCCATTTCAGAACGCTCAGAAGTTTCTAGGCTTCTTTGGGGACAAAACAGGAGTAGCCGAATCCATTCAGGGCCTTCCATTACTCGGTACCTTCAGAATTTACAGGTTATCCTCTGGGAAAAAGAATGGAGATATTGCCCTGGGGGTGAGACCTTCACTGCCACCGACTTGGAGACTAAGTCAGGTATTGTGAGAAACCGGGGTGGGAGGGGCAACTTGAGCGACCGAGAGGGAACTACTGAGAGATGGTCACATAGACAAAACTCTGGAGGAAGGGTCAACACAACTTTCTGATTCATTAGCAGGAAGTGGCGAGCAGAGGAGCCAGGCGGTAGAACAGGGCAGGAGGGTATAGGGAGCAGCAAGACTTTTAGATAATGTTTTATTTAAGGTTATTTTTAGGCATAGTCTCAAGTATCCCTGACTGATCTGGAACTTGTTCTAGACAGACTACTTACCTAGTGCTGGGATCACGGGTGTGCGCCGCCATGTAATGGGTGCTGATGACTGAACCCGGAACTTGCTGCGGCCGAGGCAAGTACACTCCACACCGAGCTGCACCCCTCATCCCCTTATGTAAGACTCGTATTAACCCTACGTGTTACCCTTTAAGCAGTAGTTTGAGTCTAGAATGCTGAACTCCAGAGTGTGTGGCATTATCAGTGTAAGTGGACAAGTGCATATTTTTGATCAGAGGCTGGGCAGGATGCCAGTGAAGGCTTTGATGAGAGGCTGGGTGTGGTGGCACACACTTTTAATTCCAGCACTTGGGAATGATCTCAGTGAGTTCAAGGCCAGTCTGGTGTACAGGACAGACAGAGCCATATATTATAGGGAGATCCTGCCATCAAAAACAAAACACACACCGGGTGGTGGTGGTGCACGCCTTTAATCCCAGCACTCAGGAGGCAGAGGCAGTCGGATCTCTGTGAGTTCCAGGCTGGGCTGGATCGATAGCCTCCAAAACAATACAGAGAAACCCTGTCTCGTAAAAACCAAAAAGAAAAAAAGAAAAAAGAAAAAGAAAAAAAGAGTTCATCAAGTGTGGCGTAGACTTATTAGTGTACAGTTGGAACAACTCCAATAAAATTGCTTGCTCTTCTGCATCTTGCCATCCCCTCAAATCCCTGCTACATTGAGGACATCCTTAACCATTACAAAGGTTTAAAAAAAGAGAGTAACATATGGAGAGGGAACATATATGTTCAAGGGAAAGGCTGGCATCCATGATAGGGGAGCTAACGGAGAAGGAAAATCACTGAAGGCCAGAAATAGTTGGCTGAGGTATTCTGGGAAAATAGACATAAAATCTTCAAATGTAGTGTTTGCTGGCAAGCTAATTTTGAGGATACAATGCCTGGTCTCAGCTTGGCTATGACTTTGAGGGCCCGCTGGGAAGACAAAGAAAGAGTTAAATGAATAAACATTTTCATAGCTTACAATTGCCACTCTTATTTTTAAAAAAATAATTTCTAACTTTAGTGGAGTCATATCCTGAGATTTCCCAAGTTTTGGTCACAATGAGGTAGAATTCAGATTTTAGTTCTAGATTTCATAGCTCTTTCACTGCCACTTCCTGTCACAATTCTTTCATTCTGCTGGAATTATAAGAAAGTAGATATTTGACTATCTTTTCAGCTTCTCCAACATATTTGATTGAAAGGCTTATTTCTTTAATTTTATGTGTATGGGAGTTTGGCCTGCATGTGTATGTGCCCCATGGGTGTGCAGTATCTGAGGAGACCAGAAGAAGGAGTCAGAGCCCCTGGAGCTAGAAACACCAACAGTTGTGAGCTGCCATATGGGTGCTAGGAATCTAAAATCTATGTCCTCTGGAAGAGCAGCCAATGCTTTTAACTGCTGAGTCATCTCTCCAGCCCTAGTTTCTTTCTTTTAATTCAAACAGTCTCCTTTTCATGGAGCTACTTAAGGCATGGTGCCACAGACCTGTAATCCTGCACTTAAGAGGATAAGGCAGGAAGATTGAGATTAGTCTGAGTGACTTATTTTAATATTGTAAATATGGGTTTAAGCCAAGAGGAAGTCTTTATTATACTGGTTGGTGGGTATCCCAATTTAATACCTTTCTAGGGTGAGCTTTTAAGAACAAAGATCATATTTTCTGTTGATATACTTCAGTTTACAATAACAGCCAGAAGCAGAACTATAGAAGCTAAAAAGCAAGGTTTGTAAATTTTGAGACTTCCCCAAAACTATGGAGTTTGATGGATTAGGTCTGTTTTCATTTTGACATACAGTACTGTCTATGAGTTGAGTTTCATGACCAGAAAGGTGCTTTTATCATGGAGTCAGTTGTGGTAAGGTGTGGGGACCAGTTATCAAACAAAACACCAGTTAACTGGACAAATGACTCAGTGATTAAGAGCACGTGGCAGCTCTTACAGAGGACCTGAGTTAAGTTCTCAGTAACCACTTAATGGTTCACAGTCTGTAACTCTGGTTCCAGGGGATTTGGTGCCGTCTTCTAAACTCTCTGGGCATCAGGTATGCATGTATGTATGTATATACATTAATACATACATATATACATACATACATACATACATGTCAAACACTCATACACATAATAAAGACAACAAGAAATCTGAACTCAAGCCCCAAGTGTATAGCATTTGCAGTATCTTCTGTATCTAACATTAACTATGTACCTTATTTGAGCTTAAGAGAGCATTGCCTGGGAACAGTCTTTGGTTTTATTAGTTAATTTGGTCTTGGTAGCTAAGGAAGTCTTTGATATCCTATAGATTTTGCTTTTACTCAGATCTGTTCTTTCAACCTTCCTTTGAGTTAAAAGCTTACCTCGTTCTTACTTTCCCTTAAGTCTATTCTCTTTGCCTGCCTCCGTCTCTGCCTCCTGAGCACTGGGGATAAAGGCCTGCACCACCACACTTGTCTTCCTTCAATCCTGTAAACCTATGAGCTACCCTACCCTCAGCGTACCTGCAGAGGCTCCTCCACACAGTGACCACACTGCTATTCTAAAGACTGTGCAAGTTTGATTTTGAAATCCATTTGACCTGTGACTTTTTCTGTAGAGTAGCGATTGTAGGGATGGTCTTATTTTATTGTTTTGTTATCAACAAGTGTGTCCTTTATAGTTTTAGTTTCCCAAAGTGGTGCCCGGTTTTGATCGATGTTCTGTGTGAATTTGAAGATAATGTAAACTTTGAATACAATATAGTGTAGGTATGAGCTATGATTTAGTCTTGTGAGATGTTTTCCAAAATCCTTATATCAATTTGGTAACTTCCTGAGGCTTGTATGAATGTTACTATTTTAATTTTAAGATGAGGAAATACTCCCAATCAGACCTCAGAGTGAGTCATGCAGCAGCTGGCCTGTCACAGTATGGCACACCTGAGATTTTAGGGATTGCCTTCCCACGCCTCTACCATCTTCCTACACTTTAGGGATGGTCTACGCATGCGGCTTTGTCAACATCTGCATGCGACCCCCCGGGAAAGGGACCCCCGACCCGCGGGGGTGAGGTGATGAGGGTCGCTACTAATTTAGTGGGCCTTCACGAGCAGATCCGATCTGGAAATTGAACTTCAAGAGGTTAATGGAAACAGGCTCAAGACAACGTTCGCTGATCAAGAGCCTTTATTTTTTTGGGGCGCGCTGGAACTTATAGAGGAAGGACCTCAGGGGGTGGTACAAGCATGTCAATCAAGTCTCAATTCAAATATACACCAAATACGGTAAAGACAAAGCTGTAATTTTCCATCAGTCATTAGTTGCATTCCACAAATGCTTGTCAGCGTAAGTCAGGTGCAGGAATTAGGGAGGGGTAGGGAGTGTACAACAGAACGCTATAATCTTTTGTTTAACAAAGACAATTACTCTGTAAGGGTACTTCCCCCTGGCTAGGCGGGTGGGCTGCCCTGTGTAAATTTAACTTTAATGGTTAGCCTTTTCCTTTGTCTCAAGGGCATGTGTGCTCGCAGTCACGTAGGCAGAAGGCCAAGAAACGGTTGACAGACTCCATTTTGTTCAAGGTTCTAGCAGTCCCCAACATCTGCAAGTTGTACATGATTTATCAATCTGAGGGACTCTGTCAATGCTTACAATCTCAAATTTGTTTTTGAGGTAGGGATGCCACTATGTAGCCTTGTCTGGTTTAGAAGACCCTATATAGACCAGGATGGCCTTGAACTCAGAGATTCACCTGCCTCTGCCAGGAATGCTGAGTTTAAATGTGTGCACCACCACGTTCAGCCAATATCATTTCTTCATGCTAGGAAGAATTGTTACAGTTTCTTAGTTTTGCTTTGTCTTTATAATCTATGCAACTTGACTTTCTCCTCAGAATGAACTAAGCCATAAAAAAACTTCTCAGTTATGAGCCTTTATAAACCACACTCCAACCATAACAATAAGATAAACTTGGCTAGACAAAGGGAACAAATTATCTTTTTTTTCCTGTAGGCAAATGATTAGAATTTAAGTTTTAATGTGATGAACTCTCCTACTAACATCCTAGAAATCCTATGTATTTATTGCATTTCTATGTGTTTGAACTCAGAGTTCAGAGGTGATTTTTCTGAGATCCACTTCTCTCCTTCAGTGGCGTTTGTCCTCACCATCAAACTCAGGTCACTGGGCAAGCACTTTTCCATGCTGAGCCATCCTTGTCAGCACTAAAATTGTGCCCTGAACACACACACACACTCACTCACTCACTCACACACATATATACACACACACTCACACACACTCACTCACACATGCATACACACATGCACACACACACTCACTCACATACACATACATACACACTCACTCACACACATACATACACACACACACACACACACACACACACATATATATATATATATTAGCAGGGGCCTAGGAGTAGGGAATGGTCATTTAGAACGATTTCCATCACTTAGTGTTTGGAAACCAGTATGAAAATATGGCCACCAGGGATTATTTAAAATGACTCAGAAAAAAATCCCTACAACAGAATTGAGGAGCAAATCCTTCAGATTTTCATAGTGTAGACACCTCAGAAAACTAGGTTATTCCCTTGGATGGCCTAACCCCATTGTTCATATGTGCACACACTAATTAGCACACCTTTTTTTCCTGTTTATTTTTCTTCATGAGTCTTGACTAAACAGCCAAGCTGGATGAAATACAGTATTAGAGAGAAAATAGGGGAGATGAGTTGTAGGTAATTTCTTTTCCCTTGGCTCCCCTCCTGTGAAATCATCAGGATTCGGAGCTGTCAACTAAACGCTGGGAAAGGAGTGTTTAATAGAAGCACTTTTCCCTCTGAGGGCACTGACATGAAAAACACCACGGGTTTTTGTTTTGTTTTTCAAGACAGGGTTTCCTGGCTGCCCTGAACCACCTCTGCAGGTCAGGCTGGCCTTGAACTCACAGAAATCCGCCTGTGCCACTGCCCAGCTTACACCGTCATTTGATTGTAAGTTATTACCAAAAACTTGCCAAAGAACCTGTGGGCAGTGTCTCACTGTGACTGGCCCAGATATGAATCTATCTGCCCTCCAGAGAGCTGGGACTAAGGGCGTGGGCCACCATCAGTTTTAAGTCCCACTTTCCCCTATGGGGTCACATAGAGGATACTTTCCTTGAAGTTTCTACAGAATCAAGTCCTGAAAGAGGTCTAGATGCCTTCCTGGAAAGATGATGTCTTATACAGTAAGGAGTTTAATGCAAGATGCTTAGGGAATGGCTTTAGAGTGTTGTCTCCGAGCGAACTTTGGGATAGGGAAGGGCTGGCGGGGCAATCCCTACCCCACTGATAGCGTGCTTAAAGCTGGAACCATGTAAATCGTTCTTATTTAACCCTGAACAGCCTAGAAAGGGCTTCATCATGTTTCATCTTGACAGGAAGAGAATCAGAGAAAAGAACCTTCCTCTAGAGCATCCAATTCTTGGTGAGGGTTAGGACTCAAGAGTCTCGTTCCCGCCGTGTGCAACGCCTAAGTCAGAAAGGAGTCACTGCTGTGAAAATTGCACCTAGAGCTCATGCTGTGAAAACACGCGTGGAGTCGGGCGGCGAAATGGCGCAGGAGGCAGGGCTTGGCCACAAGCCATCCTCACTCACCCACCCCGCCGACCGGACCACGGAGGGGTGGACGAAACTCCACACACGCCTAACTAGTCCGTGGGATACTCACCGAGCAACCTACAGTAACCTAAACTGGATAGGGCCCTTAACTGTTGAGTCTTTTAGGACCATCCTCCTCAGCGGCAACGAGGGACAACTGATTGCCCCCACATCATGCTCCAGACAGATCTAATTATTCTCGGATGCCTCAAGGCAGTTTCAAGTCTCAAATGGAGAGGTTAAGACTCCGGCAGCAGTATCTAAGCTAAGCAGGGAGTACACTAACATCCCACCCTAGCGTGTACAAAACGCTCTGCCGCGCCCTGACGGCACAGCATTCTAGGAAACGCTCGGTCTTTCACCAGAGCCCCGCAGAGAGAAACTCTACCTTACCTAAACAAGGCGTCATAGGCCTTTAGTGGTTACAGCTCTCTCTTGAGAACTGAAGTGGCTCTGAAAAGAGCCTTTGGGGTAAAGTCGATCAGTCAGGTCTCGGCTGCGCCTCACTTGGAGCTGGTGTACTTGGTGACCGCCTTGGTGCCCTCCGAAACGGCGTGTTTAGCCAGCTCCCCGGGCAGCAGCAGGCGCACGGCCGTCTGGATCTCCCGGGACGTGATGGTCGAACGCTTGTTGTAATGCGCCAGGCGGGAAGCCTCGCCTGCGATGCGCTCGAAGATGTCGTTCACGAAGGAGTTCATGATGCCCATGGCCTTGGAGGAGATGCCGGTGTCGGGGTGCACCTGCTTCAGCACCTTGTACACGTACACGGAGTAGCTCTCCTTGCGGCTGCGCTTGCGCTTCTTGCCGTCCTTCTTCTGCACTTTTGTGACGGCTTTCTTCGAGCCCTTCTTCGGAGCAGGGGCAGACTTCGCCGGATCCGGCATTTTCCTCCGCGTTCAAAGCCGAAGCACAAAATGGACGAGGCGAGTGCGAACTGCTGTAGTGCGGCTGGTTATGCGCTACTTATAGAGCTCGTATGCAAATGAAGGCTCTCCCAGCACTACACTCTTATTGGCTAACTTACACTAGAGTTAGCGTCAAGAAGGCGGAGTCTACGCGCCCTGGTGGAGGGTGGCTACAGGGAAGTCTCTCAGCCAATCGCAGCCCTCCATTTCCTGTTAGCCGATGAATGAGCGCCGCAGTCCTCCCCCTTCACCTGTCCTTTTATCTTCCTTGCACTCTTAAGCACCAGGTTGAAACAAATTCTTTTCCTTCTTTGGCCTATCATACTTGGTGGCTGGATTGAAATAAACACAGGGTCATGTTTCTACCCGGGAACTCATCTTTACTAGGATCCCTCCAGGGCTTGAGACACTGAAGCGGATCGAGTTCTCCCTATTTGTGGCTAATCATAATTGTTATGGCTGACACACTTGGGGAAAATTGGGAATCAAGTTCAGGTGTTGCTGATACTCGGGGCGAAGCTGACACAGCTGCTCTTATGACAACATAGGTGGCTCTGAAAAGAGCCTTTGGTGAGAGGGAATGGGGACCGAGAGCTCAGGCGCGCTCCCCGCGGATGCGGCGGGCCAGCTGGATGTCCTTGGGCATGATGGTGACGCGCTTGGCGTGGATGGCGCACAGGTTGGTGTCCTCGAACAGCCCCACCAGGTAGGCCTCGCTCGCCTCCTGCAGCGCCATGACGGCCGAGCTCTGGAAGCGCAGGTCGGTCTTGAAGTCCTGCGCGATCTCGCGCACCAGGCGCTGGAACGGCAGCTTGCGGATCAGCAGCTCGGTGGACTTCTGGTAGCGCCGGATCTCGCGCAGCGCCACGGTGCCGGGCCGGTAGCGGTGCGGCTTCTTCACGCCGCCCGTGGCCGGCGCGCTCTTGCGGGCAGCCTTGGTGGCCAGCTGCTTGCGCGGGGCCTTGCCGCCGGTGGACTTGCGAGCGGTCTGCTTTGTACGGGCCATGGTTTTGTGACTTTGCCTTCCTGGCGCCTAGAGGCCATATTTATAGACTTACCTTTGTTATGATTGGACTAGAAAAACAGGGACTTTCTGGATTTGCAGTCTGATTGGGTAGAATTCGATCCTCTTTGCCGGGTGACGAGATGGTTACACTGCGCCTGATCCTTTTCCTTCTTCCTGTATTTATGGACCACGGAGCGTTTGATGAAAGGATGGTTCTTTTCAGTTGATGTAACTTTTCTGAAAGCAGTGTATAGTGTTTTACACACTGTGCGCCCTAACAGGTTCCTTCGGAAATAAGCTCACCCCTTTCCCGTTCTGCGATTGGTTTGTTGCCACAGCGTTTATTTAGCCTCAGGCACTGTGTCCCGAGGTTTGGAAGCTTATAGCCATAGCTGAAGAATGACAAAGCAATGTATAGTGAAAGGACTAAATTAAACTTAACATTTTATCTACTTCTGAACCCGACCAAAATTGCTCTACATTAGCTGCCCACTGACCCACGTTTTGTTTGAGGCCCCTGCCCCCTTTCCCCTTAGTGTACATTCCCCACTCACTCCTACACTGAAGACCAATTAAATCCTGCAGATGAAATGCTTGTTTGTCAAAGGATAAGACTAGAAGTATTAATACCTCCTTTCCAGCAGAGCATAGTCACTAAATAACCAAACCCTTATCATCCAGGTGACACATTAAAATACCTTTCAAAGCAAGCCAGTCATTTATTGATGACTAAGGTGCTAACACAGTTTTTTCCACAAAGATTAAATTGAACGTCTAATATCTTCTATATTATCCCAAGAACAGTGAAGTTTTTTTTTAACCTTTTAGCTATTTGGCATGTTTTGGAAAATGCATGTTATAATGGTTATATACAGTTGTGCTAACTAATATAAAACTCTTAATAGCATGTCTGATCTTTTTCTTTTTTTTTTTGAAAAAGCATTACCTACAACCCTTCAAAAAGTCAAACCTAAAACCAAAGAGGCCTCAGATGTCTAAACCTTGTTTTGATGGCGCCAGAAAGCATTATCCTCTTCCTGAAATCCAAGTGAAATGAAATTGATCTTAAAGGGATTCTCAAAGACTAATCACATGTACAAGCTTGCTAGTTTAACTAACCTCTTTAAGAATCCCTCAGGAGCAGAAGCCATCTCCAAAACGGGGCACGGAAGCATCGCTGATGTGAGCTCTTACCCTTCCTGTGGTACTCTTCTGGCAATGTTTTAAGCATGGACAGCAGCTCTCTGTTTAAGGTAGTCCTAGGGTCAGTTGGTAAAACTTTGCAACACAGAAACATTCTCCTATTCTGCACTAAACCCTCTAGAACATCTCAAACTTCTCCCATGAACTCCCATCAGAAGGGGAAATTGCCTGGTGGAATCTGGATGGTGCCCACACAACTGTCATGTTTCCTTGTAAGATTTTCTTTGTAACGTATGCCCTCGAGCATAACGTATGGGTGGATTCATTTAAATCAGATTCTCAAACTCCATATCTCATTTCTGCCCTCAACAGTGTTTAGACAATATTACGTGAAAAAAATCCAGGATAAAAGTCAGAAGCTTTACATTGCATGCCTATTCCTAGTACAGTGATGGAATGTCATGCCTTCTCACCCAGGACATAAATCACCTCCTTGTCCACCATATCCCTGCTAATCACAAATTAATCATGTTGTAGCAATCTCCATTGTCAGAGTATCTGCCAAGGCATTGAGCGCCTGTGTTCAGGTACCAGTGATCTTGGGTAATCCTAAGTGCAAACTCTACTAAAGAATGTGATCATTCTTCTGTTTTACTATTGTTGCTTTTGCTCTTTTTAACTGAGCCTAACTTATAAGTTAAACTTTACAATAAGCATATCTACATATACTATAGGAAACACATAGTGCTGCATATGTAATGTACAGCATTATCTGTATGCTCAGATATTGTTCCTGGGTCTTGGACTACATCCTCTGGGGGTAAGAGAAACCTGCTGTGTTCAAATGTAGAATCTAAGAGCTGTGGCGTTTAGTTTACTTAATAGACAATAAGAAAATCCCAAGTCTTCCTGTTGTCTAACTTTTAAAATTATGCTTGTAAGTTTTCTATTTTTCAGAAATAGGGGTGCCACTGTGAATATGAATCCTAAGGCAAGAAATTAGAAATAAAAAAGGAAACTTCCAAGGGGTACCAGGACTACTTCCTGAAATACAATATCCCTGATGCCTCAGTGAGCTTAGCTTTTATTCTTTCCACTATGCATTGACTTTAATAACAATTCAGAGTTATATTAGTTCAATTGTGCTTGGTTCTCACATTTGGACACTAGAATAAGGTTCATGTGAAGTTTTGGATCCAATCTCACCAGTAGGGGTTATGATACAGAAGAAACTGTTTCTCTGCAGAGGAACTATTTCTCAGAAAAGCCCTGAATTTTTCATTAAAATATACCCAAAAAAGGGACAAGCAGGTGAAAAGTTTCTGCACCAGGATAAGCCTCTTCACTGATGAGATGGTCCAAATGAGACCAAATCAAACCAAATTAGAAAAATCCCATGTTTAATGCATACAACGCTCCCGGATGGCCTTCTAGCTCCTGGGAAAACCATATGTCTATTTTCTGGGGGGCAGTTTAAATATCCTGTGGGAGTGGTCTTGAGCATCTCTAGGGGAGGGCTTTCTGAGATGCATCATTTTGCCATTCATAGGCTGTGTGGTGTTCTCCAAAGCTCTCCACCTCTCTGAACCACATTGAGATTTATTACGGAGATCTTGATGTCTCAGGTGACTGGAGATGAGACGGACTCTGGTGCTGAAAACGGAGCTGGGAGCTAACCTCAACACAGGAGCTGAAAATTTCAAAGGACCGACCAACCCAGCTGGGAGCTAACCTCAACATAGGAGCTGAAAATTTCAAAGGACCGACCAACCCAGCTGGGAGCTAACCTCAACATAGGAGCTGAAAATGTCAAAGGACCGACTGAAAAGGGGGCTTGTGTGGAATCCACCATAACATTCCAGACTCTTTGGGTATATGGCTGCCAAGGGCTGGGATGAAGCTTCCAACGTAGCAGCAGGGTGTAAGGGCATGCACCTTTAATCCCAGCACAGGGGAGGCAGAGGCAGGTGGGTCTCTGTGAGTTCCAGGCCAACCTGGCCTACATAGTGAGTTAATTCTGGGACAGCCAGAGCTACACAGTGAGACCCTATCTCAAAACAAGACAAATTACAAGGGCCTGGAGTTTAAAGACTGAGAACTGGAATTTCATAAATTGGGATGAGTACAAGAAACTTAAAAATTTCCATACAAACAAGTAAGCAAACAGGAAATTTAAATAAATGAACTATTGGGACACAGTATTTTGTGTGTGCTTGTGTTTGTTCTTAATACAAAAGTATGGACTAAGTTTTCTGTTTGGATTCAAGTACCTCCAGAGTTACATTGGAACAGCAACTGTGACCATTTGAGTTTTTGGTCTGTGGGCTGACAAAGAGGTGTGAAGTAACGTATCTTCCAGGAGCTGCCACGGAATTCAGAAAACAGCAATCTCAGCCAGGAAACTCCTGGACTGGAGAAGTTCTGTGAATGCTGGTTTGGGCGTGTAGGTTTGTCCGTGCTGTGACCACAGTGTCAATCAAGCGACTTGTACGATTGTCCAGGTTTAAGGGGGTTAGGGGATGAGTGCCCTACCTCCTCAGAAACACATTTCACAGGCCTTAGGTTTAAAGCATTTGAGGTTTATTTGTGGGGCGGGGAGATTGTTTTCTGAGCCCTGAGCCTAACAGGGCTCAAAGCCTCCCAAGTCCACCTTCAAGCCTGGAGCCAGAAAATCCCGATGGATGGGGTAAAATCAAGGGTTCGTCAGTACATACAAGACAAGGCATATAGGAGTACTTTTTTTAGACTTTTTTTTTTCAGAAAACAAAAAGAAACCACCCACCACAAATTTTTCTGCTGCAGAAAGAAATGTCTCATGATTTTCGATGGTGGGCCCTGGGAACGATGAATTTGCTAGCAGCCCAGGGCGTCACTTCTATGAAGCAGATACAGACTTGCAAAAGCGAATTTATCCAGCTGCATGTGGGCCCAGTTTGGGAACCATTCCCAGGCTGAAAACACCGGCAAACCTCAAAGGACTGGTCGAAACGATTGTGGCAGCTTTCCCAGGCTCTGCTAGCCAGCAGGTCTTTGGGGAGAGGTCCGTGGAGACCCACTGATCTCAGCGAGAAAGCTCCGCAGACGAATTTTCCTAGGACCTAGTTTCTGCTTATGCTGAAAACTGTCAACTAAGCAGCGACTGTACTCAGAACCGCCCGCGAACATCCCCTTGCACACAGATTCCTGGCTGCGCAGCTTTCGATTACGTTACCCTGGCTACTGGAGCTTCTTTAGTAGCGGTTCTATCTAACTGTAGCTCGGGATCCATCGATGCAGCGCTCTCCCCTTCACGTCTCCGAATTCCCTTTCTCTTTCTCCAGTCTTTTGTCCTTTTAGCTTTCATACGGTCCAGAAGCCCACAGGCTGGAAGAAACAGAGCTGTAAATTACAGACCGCGGTATCTCTCAAGTTTTTTGGGGGAGATCTGAATTTTCCCAGAGACTATGGCATTACAATTTAAGAAAATTAAAAATAAAAATAAAAAAGAAAGGCAAGGCACTATGAAGCCACCGGTAGAGGGCAGAGAAGAGAAGAAAAACAGGAAAATGACGCAACGTCAAGAGCCGGGACGATTTACAAAGATTCCCGCCCGCGCGCTTTCGGTTTTCAATCTGGTCCGATCTCCTCCTATATCTGAGGGAAGCCACCGTCCGTGCTTCACAGTCCGGCGTTTCGACTGCACTGACCATGTCTGGAAGAGGCAAGGGTGGAAAGGGCCTCGGCAAAGGGGGTGCCAAGCGCCACCGTAAGGTTCTGCGCGACAACATCCAGGGCATCACCAAGCCCGCCATCCGCCGCTTGGCTCGACGTGGTGGTGTCAAGCGCATCTCTGGCCTCATCTACGAGGAGACCCGCGGTGTGCTGAAGGTGTTCCTGGAGAACGTGATCCGCGACGCCGTCACCTACACCGAGCACGCTAAGCGCAAGACCGTCACCGCCATGGACGTAGTCTACGCGCTCAAGCGCCAGGGCCGCACCCTGTATGGCTTCGGAGGCTAGACTGCACAGCCGCCGCTTCATCCCTCATCCCTAACGGCCCTTTTTAGGGCCAACCACAAGCCCACCAGAAGAGCTGGCACTCTGACTAGGTCTGACCAGGTTACAGTCGTTGATCTAAACAATGTAAGGTGAAGGCGCGTCCCCAATGGAGTCGCTGGGTCTGGGTTCAGTGCCATCCAGTAAGCTTCTTTTCCTTAGCGGCCAGCATCCATGGCAGCGACTGCTCACAGGCAACTGGTTTGTTTCCAGTGTCGACGGTATAGCTATGGGTGGTTGGTTAAAAGGTTTGGGCTTATGTGGCCAGCACTGCCTTAGGAAGACTCCAGTTTAGGCAATAGTGTAGGAAACAGTGGGCTGAAAGCGGCTTTGCAATGTAATACTAGAATAACGACGTTTTAATCTGGTCACAGGCAAGCCAGGTGTATGGATAACTGAACACTGGCTTGTTTCTATGACTTGCTCAGCCTGTCTGCTTCCTGGTTTGAGGTTTCCTTTTTCTTTTTTTTTGTTCTTTTTGTGGGGCGGAGGAGGGGGTGTTTCTCTGTAGCCTTGGCAGTCCTGGGAATCTCCCTGAAGGCCAGGCTGGCCTTGAATTTACAACAGATCCACCTACCTGTCTGCCTCCTGAGTGCTGAGGTTAAAGGCTTGTCCCGCCCCACCCCCCCGACTTTGCACAGATTTGAGGGAAGCCTGCACCACAAGTTCCTCTCACAAAGAAAACCATGAACAAGTTGAGAAAAAATCAGTGGAAGCCATTTAGGTATGTGGCATGCTGGGACATGTTTAGAAAGAGACTTGCCAAAACATGCCCATCCCCCATCAGCACCCGAGGCGATGTTTAATGTTGATAAGACAAAAGCAGATTCTCAAGAATACAGCATGCCATTCTCTGCTTCACTCTTCCCTACTGTGCAAATTGTTAGAAGTTGTAGGCTTTTATTTTTATTGTACATTAATTCTTTTATTTTGAAATATTGTGCAATCTTCATATTCAGTTACATGACCTTATATAAAGATTCAACTTCCAATTCAAGAAGCTGAATTCTAGTGTAGACCACCTCAGGATCATGGCAATGTATTTGTATTGATCCATCTGTAGTTGTCATATTTAAAAATATGCATTTTAGGTAACCATGCATGCATGCTCCACGTACATACACCCAACAGGTCAAGGTAGTCCAATAAGATGAGGAATAAAGATAATTTTCAGAATCTCAAAACTACAGAAATCATTATGTTTTGGGATTGGGGGAAGCTTGGTAGGGTTGGAGTTTATGGGCCTTCCTTCCTAATGAGGTATTCAGTAACCTTGAGGGCTGGGGGAGATAGCAAGAATGGCATCTGTGACCATCTGTGCTGAGAAAGAAATGGGCTTTCCTTTACAACCTCACCCACAATTTACATTACATCAGCTGATGCTGGTTCCCACCTTTGAGGGCCCTCCGAATGAGAACATCTGATTCTCACCGAAGAATTCTAAAAGGCTTACAAAGGTTTACAGAGAACTAACTCAGCAAATAAAGGAAGCAGGAAATATTTCTAGGCCGAAGTCTGCTTCTGAAAGTGAGATTTCCAGTCCATCAGCACTGATTACCTTAGCCTCACTGCAGACCAACTGAGTTGGAGACGCTGGGCCCAGCAACTTGTGGCTTAATGCCAAGCTCTCCAGGTGGTTCTGACACACATTTAACAACCATGGACCCAGGTGACATGCTTTGGTTGTTATGGTGATGGTGCTGGGCATCACATGCAGGACATTCTGGCAAGTTCTCTTATCACTAAACTATAATCCCATCCCTAGTTTTCCCCTAAAGGACACAAGTGACACCCTGCTTGACATAATACTATATCTTGGAGATCCACCTGCCTCTGCCTCCCCAGGGCTGGGATTAAAGGTGTGTGCCACCACCTCCCAGTTTATACTTTAGACTATATAAATAGAATTATTTTTCACGTTAATCTCATTCCATCAGTTCTTCCTTCTCCATAAGTGGTCTAAGCTTTTCTATGTGGACCAAGCTTTAATTGAATCTGTAATCCTCCTGCCTTAGTTTCCAGAGCACTGGGGTTACAATTGGGTACCACTACATTTGGTACAGAACTGTTTTTGGTTTTTTGTTTGTTCGTTTGTTTTTTTATCCAGGAAAATCAGGGCAGGAACTCAAGTTGGGCAGGTATCTGGAGGAAGGAGGGGCTCAAGCAGAGGCCATGGAAGCTTACTGGCTTGCTCCCCAAGGCTTTCTCAGCCTGCATTTTTTTTTTTAAGATTTATTTATTGTGAGTACAATGTTCTGTCCACATGTATCCTTTTGGCCAGAAGAGGGCACCAGATCTCATTACAGATGGTTGTGACCATTATGTGGTTGCTGGAAATTGAACTTAGGACCTCTGGAAACAGATAATATTCTTAACCATCCCCATCAGCCTATTTATTATAACCCCAGGACCACCTGCCAGGCACAGCATTACCTACAACTGGTTGGGTCATCAATCAAGAAAACACCCTACAGACTTACCTACGGGCCAGTGGGATGGAGGCATTTTCTTGATTAAGATTCTTTCTTCCCAGATGACCTAGCTTGTGTGAAGTTGACATAAAACCTAGACAGAACAGGAGACAATTAAGTCATGAGAGCAGAACCTTCACCAATGATATTAATGAGTCAACTGTGCACTTCTCCCACTGTGTTGAGAACACTTTGAAGAGCCATCTCTGAGAAATGCCCTCACCAGACACAAATCTGCCGGCACCTGGTCCTCCCAGCCTCCGGAACTGTCAACAATGCATTTCTGTTCATAAACTACCTAGTCCAAAATATTTTAACATTGCAGCCCAGATGGAAGAGAGTGAATCTGTATTGTATATGTTCTTTCTCTTGGTGAGGAACACCCACATTGCCTCCAGTGCCTCAGCACCCTTGTTGTAGCTTCTGATAAACTGGCATGAGAACTTCTTCAGGACAAATAGCTAGGAACAGAACTTCTGGTTCCTTGATGTATGTAAACTTGCATTGAGTAGTGGCTACCTTAGCCCCACATGCTACCAGAGCAGCACAAAGCACCTCATCCTCAGTCATGACCATCCCTAGACATGATTCAGCTTTGCAATTTTAAAGTGATACCTGTTACTGTTTTAACTTGCCTTTGCATGACTACTAGTTTTTTTTAAGGTCAATTTTATTACTTGTGTGTGTGTGAGTGGTGTGGGAGGGACCTATGGAGGGCAGAAGATGGTGTTGGGTCCCCTGGAACTGGAGTCACAGGTGGTTGTAAGCCTCTCCATGTGGGTGTTGGGGACACAGATGCTCCTCCTTTAGGAGCAGAAAGCATGCTAAACAGCCAAGTCATCTCTCCAGCCCCATGGCGTTATATTTTTACCTCCTTTTTATAACCAATCTTCCATTCCTGCTGGCAGAAGAAAGCCAGTCCCAGTTAGCCCTCAGGATCTTAAATGGTCTGGGCTAAAAGCCTCCACCACTGACAGTTCATTTCTTATTACTGCCCTCACACCACTCTGTACCCTGGTCTCCACCTGCAGTCTCTCTTTTTAGTTTCTGCTGCTTCTGCCTGCATCAGACAGCTCCTATCCCAAGGTTTGTTGTGGAAAGAATTGCTCTTCCCCTCTGAATCAGGTAGTTCAGTCTGTCCTTCCTCTATACTTACAAAAGATGTCATTCCTTCTCCAACCTCATGTGCTGCCTCCAACCAGGTGGATGTGAAACCATGCTGGTATTCCTACTAAATAAATTAGTAACGAGTGCTTATTTATATGAATGGTGATTACACAATGTTCTTGGTAAGTTTCTCTGTTAATATTGATACCATCAGTAACTTCAAGACAATTTTTAAAAACTTTTCTGTGTGGGCATACATGCTGTAGCCCAGTACAGGGATGGAGATGAGATGGTGGCTTGCTGGAGTTGGTTCTCTCTGTCCACAACGTGGAAACTCAGGTCACAAGGCTTGGCAGGAAGTGCCAAGTGCCATCTTGGCAGCCCAATTTACGACCACACGTGAAACCCTGTCTTAAGGATTTGATGCAATTGTAATTTATAACTCTTGCTTGATTGTAACCCATTAGTCATGGTAACATCTACTTAGATGGGAGGCAGTAGCATTTTAAAATTTTGATCTCACGAAATAGACTGGGATTGAAAATATTGCTTTGTGCAATTAGTATCCATTTTAGATATATTTGGATATGTATACTAGGTAGCAAAATGAATATTTTCCTATAGTTTTAAGTCATGAGAAATTAGTTATAGCTGATTCCAAGTTGCACTAAGATACACTATACCATAAGTCATATAATTGTTCATGTCTAGTTCTGTTGGACAGTGAATTGGTACAAAAAGAAAAGCAAAACACAAGACCCAGGCTCCACTGGCTGCAAAGGCATAGTTTCTGTATGTGTTCAACAGAAATAAAACAGTCTTTCTGTCTCAGAGCCTTTGTGAATACTGAGTTTAGTGAAAGGCCAGCTGTACAATACTCAGGAACACAGGTGTGTTCAGGTTTAGAGCACCTGTCTGGAAACTGGTCATGTATTTCAAATTGTCTGCCAATTTACTTGGTATCATTTTTTTTTCCAAGACAGTCATAATCAAGATTCACAACTATCCTATGGTGGTTAATCTTTACCGTCAAGTTGACTGGAATTCAAATGTCCTAGGAGACCATACTCCATGGTGTTTGTGAGGGTGACTCCAGGCAAACTTACCTGAGGAGGAAAGACGACTTCTGAATGTAGAACCACCCAGTGGACTGGGGCCCCAAGCTAACACAGTGGGCAGAGAGCACCAACGACTGTTTCCTGACTAATGCTGCAATGTGATCAACTGCCCCCTCTCACTGCCATTCTGTCACCATACCCCTTCTGTGTTGGGGACCAGGTCACCGAATCTACTTCTTACGCCAGGGCACATCCCAAACTCAGGCGTCTTCCCACAGATGGCCTGGTGCCACAGGGACAACCCATTGCTTAACAATGCTAACACCTACACTCCCTGGTGAGATCTCCTGCTCTCTTGCTTATGAAACGCTCCCTGCTCCTAACAGCCCCCTGTCTCACTTCTGGTCTAACAACCTCTGCCCCATGGCCAAAGCCACATTCCCCTATGTAAGCCTGTACAGAACTTTCATTAAACGGCAGCTTCATCAGCCATGTTGTCTTGCTGTCCATATCCCCCTTGTCTCTTGTCTCATTCATTCCAGGTTTCCTGGGCTCAAACCCGTTGAGCCCTGCTGGCCAGGGCACTTCTGGGGTTTTTTGTTTGTTTTGGGGTTTTCAGACATAGCATCTGTAGCCCTGGGTGTCCTTGAATTCACTATGTAAATCAGACTGGCCTCAAATTCAGGGTGCTCCAGAGTGCTAGGATTAAGAGTGTGTGTCACCACGACTGGCTTCCCTATCCCTTCTTAAACCAAAATAACTCCGTCTTCAATTGGATTGCTTCTGTTGGGTGTTTCTCATAGCAACAAGTAAAAGTTAGTAATACAATTCTGAAGTCATTAATGTTAACAATACCATTAGTGCCCATTGCTGTAATCGAAGGGAAACCACCATGCTGAATCACTCCTGGGCAGAAAGGCTTATTAAGGATCAAACCGCAAGGCTGTCTTTCTCTTGCAGGGGGTGGGCAGAGGCGGGCAAAGTGGCCCAAAGGGAAGCAGGTTGTACGACAGTCGGTAGGTTGTACGACAGCTGGCAGGTTGGATCTCTTTGGATTAATTGGGAACGAGATGTCTTTGCCTGAGGTAAACTGACCTTTGGGGTGGATTAAGGGAGGATCTCAGCAGATTAAGGGAGGTTCCTGGCAAACAGAAACCTGCTTTTGTGCCTCTTCACCCCGTAACAATCCTGGTTTCCTGACCTTCTGTTTAGGAAGGCACCAGAACTGCCATTTTGCGGGGCCCATTTTGGACCTAACAATCACCACATGTGAGCCTTCAGCATTCTGTGTAAATTGTAAATTATCTTCATTCTTACAGCAAGCAGTGTGGATACAATTCTATTCAGGACAAAGGAACTGAGGCCCACATCTTTTCTTGAGGCGCTTCTCCAGGTACGAGTCTGGAGTCTGGTCCTACCTTCCCATGGGCTTTATGTTCCAGTTCATAGCAGCGAGGCTCTTAGCTCATTTCCCTCTCCCTGTCTCTGTCCTGTTCATCTTGCCTCCTCTCCCAGCCACTATTGGCTGATACTTTTGACAGGTCCCATGCCCAGCTCCACCCACATCCCAAAGAAATCTCAGCAGGACTGAGTCCTTAGAGGAACCTTTCCCTTGGCCATCAATCTTCAGAGGGTGCTCATGGTGTTGGGGGTGGGCTAGCAGAAGCACAGCCATCTAGATTATCTTAATTATATCTGGAGGCAGCCTAAAGCTAGAAGTGAGGTCACTCTGGGGCAAAGGGCACCTCAGGCTTCTCAGACATTGCTTATGAGAAGTGCTCTGCTCCCTTGATTTGGGACCTGCCTCAAGGACCTTAAAAGTTCTTGCCATAATTCCAAGGTTGATCTTAACATTAAAACACCTGGCCCTGTGGGCCCAGTGCCACTGTATAAAGCAAAGATGGATCAGACAAATCAGGTCCATCAGTAAACATTTCCTGTGGTGTCCCAGACACCAGCTAGGAGTTACTCCATGAGGAGTATTGCTGGCCCCATGCTGAGGGTTGAGAAACAAGAGGTATGAGAGGAGGAAGAAGACCCAAAGAGAAGTCAAAGAGGGAAAAGGGAGAGGAGACGGGCGTGGGATGAATCCTGACGAATGAGGGACTCTCTGAATTGGCAAAAGGGAAGGCATTTTGTATATAAGAAACAGAATGTATGAAGACACTGTACTTGTGAGTTGCAGATGCTGTATGATACTAGAACATATTTGTTGAGCTGCAAGAGTACTTGGAAACAACAGAAAACCCTAGGAATTAGATGTGTATCAAACTTTTAGTGGGATTAAAAAATAGTGCTGTAGCCAGGTGGTGGTGGCCCACACCTTTAATTCCAGCACTCTAGGCAGAGGCAGGGGGTTTTCTATGAGTTGGTGGTCAGCCTGGTCTACAGAGCAAATTCCAGGACAAGGCTACAAAGAGAAACCCTGTCTCAAAAACCAAAAGACAACCAAGCAACCACAAAGTTACTGCGACTGAAAAGATGGCTCAGCAGTTAAGAACTCTGGTGGCCCTTGCGGAAGAGCCTGATTGAGGTCCCAGCAGCCACATGGTGTCTATGCCTGTTCCAGGGGATCCATCAGCCTCTTTTGGCCTTCTCAGGCACCACGAAGGCTCACAGTGCAGCGCGCGGACACACACACACACACACACACACACACACACACACACACACACACACACACGGTAAAACACTCATACATACGAATACATCTATATTTAAAAACTTTAAATGGGCCGGGTGGTGGTGGCACATGCCTTTAACCCCAGCACTCGGGAGGCAGAGGCAGGCGGATCTCTGTGAGTTTGAGGCCGGGCTGGACCAATAGCCTCCAAAACAATACAGAGAAACCCTGTCTCGTAAAAACAAAAATAAAAACAAAAACCTTTAAATGAATTTTTATAGAATGCTCCTGTTAACTTGGCAGAAAGAAAAACCATCCTGACTATTTAAGTTGCTTAGATCATGGCTGCTGAGGGTGTCAATTAAGGCAAGGGTCCCAGATAGATGAGTAGTGATAGTACTGAAAACATTTGGAAATATTTGGTGATTTGCAAGTTTGGGGCAAAGGAGCTTAGATGAGAGGGATCGATCAGTAAAGTGGAGGCACCTGAAAAGAATAAATTCGGAAAGCTGTTTGGTTTATAGTGATCTGGAAACAGTGAGTTTGATGTATCACTGTCTGAAGGAAGGACCTGGAAATACTGGTGTGTGCAGCTCTCAAGCTGGGACTTGGAGAACAAGGACTAGGGTAGAGGACCCAAGGGTAAGTTCTCTTTGTAGTAGCCAGCCTTTTAATACGTAGTTTCCCTCTACAGACACCCTGTATCCTTTGTACTAATAATTAAATCAGAACACAATATACTTCACCTGCAAGTAGATAATAGCTTAGGTTTAAAAAAACTAAATGGTAAAAATCCTGACTTGTAATGATACGCATGATCTCCCAAGCAAACAAAACCTTACAAGAAGGGGAAAAAAAAAATCTTGAAACATGGCTGTGAAAGTCTTATTCCAACAGCACAAAAATGTTAATTCTGTTAGGTATGTACCATTATTTTCGTTTTGAGACCGGAGTAAACAATGCATGTTACAGTAGAGTATACCAATTTCCAGAGGCCAAGACAAGCACCCTGGCAGAGTAGCCAACATGAGCAGGCATGGAACCAATGTCCCATAGGTCTGATCACTCATTACTATTAATAGCTAAAAGGGCTCCTCATTAACTTGGTAATTGACGGTAATCTTAGAACCGAAAAACAAAGAACCGATAGGAAACAGAAGGCTGAGTTGTAACTAGTGGGGCGGCTTGAAATAGGAATTGGGCGATAAGGTAGGGCTACTTTAAAAACACCATGTTCTGAAAAGCCTCCTGAAAAGTAACCCTTAGGAGACTACAGTTGCAACACCCAGGGAATTCCAAACAGCTAATTTGCTGCTCCGCAACTTCCCCGAAAGACTCATCTATCCTTATAGGATAAAGAACAAGCAAGGACAACAGACGCGAACAGCTCCTTCCGGGCGCACGTGGTGGCTCTGAAAAGAGCCTTTGGTGGGAGGGAACGGGGACCGAGAGCTCAGGCGCGCTCCCCGCGGATGCGGCGGGCCAGCTGGATGTCCTTGGGCATGATGGTGACGCGCTTGGCGTGGATGGCGCACAGGTTGGTGTCCTCGAACAGCCCCACCAGGTAGGCCTCGCTCGCCTCCTGCAGCGCCATGACGGCCGAGCTCTGGAAGCGCAGGTCGGTCTTGAAGTCCTGCGCGATCTCGCGCACCAGGCGCTGGAACGGCAGCTTGCGGATCAGCAGCTCGGTGGACTTCTGGTAGCGCCGGATCTCGCGCAGCGCCACGGTGCCGGGCCGGTAGCGGTGCGGCTTCTTCACGCCGCCCGTGGCCGGCGCGCTCTTGCGGGCAGCCTTGGTGGCCAGCTGCTTGCGCGGGGCCTTGCCGCCGGTGGACTTGCGAGCGGTCTGCTTCGTGCGGGCCATGGCAGAGAAGGGAGACACCGAGACCAGGAGGGACGGCGGAGACCTGCCCGGGACCGGAGTCCGCCGTCTTTATAGACGCAGTCCCCCCTGGGCGGGGCGGGGCAAGCGGCTTGAAAGTCCCGCGCTGCCGGACCATTGGCCGCGGCGTCACGGGCCCCGGGCGCTCCCATTGGCTCGGACATGCCCCGCCCCCAGCCAACCCGCCCCTGGTCCCGCCCTGCGGCTGGCTGACTCGCCCGGGCTCTCCGCGGGTGGGGCGGTGTCTGCTGGCTCCCGGTAGACGGCCAGTGCCCGCTCCGCCCAGCTCTGCCGGAAAGGAGCGCGCACGCCGGTCCGCTCGCCCACCCGGCGTCCAAAGTCACAGAGCTAAGGTTGCTCGGTGCCGCCCAGGCACCCACGGTCCCCAGATGTGGCCGCGCCCCCTCCTCTCAGACTTTGCCGAAGGACCGGGTGAGAGCGGCAGCCGGACGCCCGGCCTCACTCGCCGTCCTGGCCGAGTCCCAGCCGAGTCCCAGTCTCCGGGAAAGGGCAGGAAGCTTCCGGGAGGGTAGGCTTGAAAGACCTTAAGTAAACGGGCTTCAGGCTGAATACCTCGGTGAAGTCCCGAGCTCAATAACCAGACGGTTGGATGCAACCGCAAGAGGTTTTTAGTTTTTTTACATAGGGGCCTGTGGGCGATTCAGCAGCTCGGGTAACTGAACGTTTGCAGGCCCTAGGACAGCTTTCTTTTTATATACATAAGTTTGGCAAGCAAAGTAATAGGGTATTGTAAGGAGTGGAGCTACTGCAGGTGCAGATCTGGGCAAGCAATAAATCGTCAGAAGCGCGGGCATAACTCCTCCCTGAAGAAACCACAATGTCAGAATTACATTTATCTCTACAGCCTGCCGGTTTCCTTCCTTAACACTCTGGACCCGATGTTCTTTCTAATCAGACCTGGTTCCCTGCCTAGGGGGAAAGGACCTTGGGGAAATTTCCACTGAGGCAACCTTCTGAGTCTCAAAAAAAAAGGGGTGGAGTGTGTATTGAGGTTTTTCAGGCTGGGAGCTAGCGGGCATTTTGGTCGTGTGGGGTGTGCACGTGGGTCGGGCCAACGACATATGGCGGCAAGTGCTTATGACTGTGACACCCTCTCGGGCGGCCGAAGACCGGCTGCACGGCATGCCCGGGAACCCTAGCGCAGACGGGAAGGGGATTGGGGACGCGGAAAGCGAGTGGCGACGCGACACCCTCCATACGCTCAAGGACGGGTCGGGACGGGAAGGCTAAAGCCGTCTACCGTGACACAACTCTTTAATCTGAACCAGTGGGTGGCTCTGAAAAGAGCCTTTGAGTTCCGGGCGTCCGAGACGCGGGCCGAGGCGAGCGGCGGCCTCACTTGCCCTTTGCCTTATGGTGGCTCTCGGTCTTCTTGGGCAGCAGCACGGCCTGGATGTTGGGCAGGACGCCGCCCTGGGCGATGGTCACTTTGCCCAGCAGCTTGTTGAGCTCCTCGTCGTTGCGGATGGCCAGCTGCAGGTGGCGCGGGATGATGCGCGTCTTCTTGTTGTCGCGGGCCGCGTTGCCCGCCAGCTCCAGGATCTCGGCCGTCAGGTACTCCAGCACGGCCGCCATGTACACGGGCGCGCCGGCGCCCACGCGCTCCGCGTAGTTGCCCTTGCGCAGCAGCCGGTGCACGCGCCCCACTGGGAACTGCAGCCCGGCGCGCGACGACCGCGACTTGGCTTTGGCGCGAGCCTTGCCTCCTTGCTTACCGCGGCCAGACATGGCGAGGAAACTCAAACACACACGCTATCGCAAACAGGAAACTGTACGCCGGCACCGCCGCCTCGCCCTTTTATAGGCAGAGCCCCGCTTGCACGCCCCACGCTCTCATTGGCTCGCTCGCCGCCCTACTCCCTGCCCAATAGGGGCACGCGCACAGAATCCGCTCATTTACATAAACCCGGCTCGCCGCCGCCAACGCGCGAATCACGACGCGCGTGGCCAGAGCCCTCATTTGCGTGCGGCCGTTCTGAGGGTCCGATCCTGGAAGCCTGTGTGCCTCCGGTCTGCCGCAGTGGGCGAGGCTCGCCGTGGGTCGGCTTCGCTTCGGGAGCGCCCCGCCTCCGAGAGGTCCGGCGGGCGGCGAGCGCGAGCGAAGCCGCGGGGGAGAGGTGCGCCCACACACGTGCGCCCCGGGAGACCCAGGCGGACCTGTATCAGGTCACCAAGTGCCGCCCGCCTTTTGACCTCCGCGAAGGCAGAAATACTGGACTAGAGTTCTGTTGTGGTAGAGGTGGGATTGTAAGTTTTGTGGAGAAATAGGCGAGAGTGAAGCCCCCAGTTTTTTGGCTTGAACAACTATCTGCATAGATAGTGTTAACAGGATGGAATATGGAGAAGCATTTTTAAGTTGAGAAGTTGAGTATCTAGCAAGCATTCTCATTAACTTTGGTAACTTGAGATTCAAGTGGATATGTGAAGTCACATTTGGGAGGTTAGTTTCCTCCCCCCCCACCCCCCCACCCCCCGCACTATGCCTTCCCTCAGCGTCTCCCACGTGGCTGCGCAGCAGAATCTCTCTCCCCAGCTGCTGCATTCTTTCCTTGGCTCCTGTCACATTGCTGCTCTGATGGTGTTGGCTGACTTTTCCTGGCACATAGTCCCTGCAGGTTGGGGCCCAGGCCACCTTGGGTACTTCTGCTCCAAGTAACCTCATGCTTCTAAAAATTCAACCAAGAGACACGCTTGAACACACTCTTGTATAATGAATTCCCAGGGAACTTCCTAAACAGGTATCTGACTCCCCAAGGGCATAGAAGTGGCGTATAGAGGGCGGTTTGACTTCAGCACGGAGAGAGCTACTTCAGGAACCTAGTCCCTAAAGAAGCAGGTGCTTGTGCTTTTGAAAAAATAAAAAGACCTCTCTCGTGGTCACAGGGTAACAGAACTGACTGAAAGCCTGCCATCTCTGCCTTATGTTGTGGTTGTGTCTGTCTCCTTTTCTTTAGCTGAAGGCACAAAGATAAGTCATTGTCCTACCTTTCTCTTGCATCATAACAGATTAGTGCAATTATCCAGGAAGACAAGGCCACACCCTAGAGCTGAAACGACCTGTTTGTATGAGTGCAAGTGATGTCCTCACATGATGACAGCTATGTGGACTGCACCTTGCAGGATCAGAACTGTAGCAATGATCTAAGACACTAGCAGAAATGCTAAATTATGCTTACCTTGCCTGCCTGCCCCAGTTCCTCCTCTGCTGAACGCTAAAGCTCATGCCAGTCAGCATCCTGAAGATAGGCGTGGTCGGTGGTACTTACTGGATTCCTATTTGTTCCTCTCCCCAAAACAGCCACCTTGACTAAGTCTCCACTTTGATTTTCTTTTGAATTTGAATGAGTGGTTGAGCTTAGCCAGGGTTTCTAGAGCCGAGGCCTACCCTAAAACCTTTGGTTACTGTAAGTCTATCTCCCAACTTGTTTGTGTTATTTCCTATTCTAAGGATACTGGCACAGTTTTATGACTTTTGGCATTGTGGAATATAGCCGAAGTGAAAGGGCATATTGACAGTATTGAATATGTTACCCTATTGGGTGAAGGAATAGACTTTGGAAATAAGTTGATGACTATGTTTAGGAAAATAACTTGGAATGGGAAATACAGTTTTTTGTTGGAGATCTTGGAAAGCTTGTGAAGAGGCTGTCAGTGGCAGAATGTGATGGCTCAGGTGGCCCTTTACACAGTGAGATGGGAGCGCCAGCTGTAGTTAGTTAGGAGTCTGCAGCTTTGCAACTGGATTTGCTTATTTTAGCAAATACAAAATGACTCCAGTGCAAGAAGAGTGTATTTCCAGAAAACATTCATGTAAGACCTTGTAGACAAGTCTCAGATGAAATGTTTAGCCACAGATACTATATGATAAGTAGCAATGAAATTAAATTGTACAGATCACCCAATGTTAATAAGGTCTTGCTACAAAGTACAACAGAAGATTGGCAATGGTAGCATGAAAGCTAGCCCTACATCGGGAAACCATAGGGATGTGTTGGAATGTAAACCGATGACCAAATAACTGACCAAATTTTATGTTTCAAATGTTTGCCAAAAACCTCATCTATAGTTCTGTGCTCTGTTTAACATAGCAGTGAACTCTAGCTTAATGATAAGCATGTTAGACATTGGTAGGGGCTTCACAGAAACCAAATTTAATCAAAAGTTTAATTCCAAAGGTTAATCATGCTATCAGTCCTCCATGGGATAGCTCTCTTGAAGTTTCTGTATTGTATAGCTATTTCCTCCAAATGAAAACATTTTCTCATGCAAAGCATGGAGGCCTAGAAGACCCAGGAGATAAAATGTATAAGGCTCAGAAAACTGCTGAAACAAAAGCCACCAGGTCTGGCTGAGTCTCACCCTCACGTGGGGGTTACAGTTCAGAGACAGGTTGCATAACTCTAGCCAGGCTCAGGAGGTTACACTGGGCCTCGCATCTGAGCCTTTCTTAGGCCCAACACTGGCTAGCTTAGCTAAGTTGGGCTGAAGTGAGTTTCATTCTGGCCTCACCCACTTTGACCTCACCCAGCCATGACACTTGCAGGGTCCCCCCCACACATCTCTCTAGGGAAAGTCACACAATACTCTGGTGGTAAGATGATGCTTTCATACTTGAATTTAATGTCGTTGAAAAAATAAAGTCTGAAGTAGAAGCTGTGGAATAATAGGAATGACAGGGTTTATGGATTTTAATAGGAATGACGGTGTTTATGGATTTCTTATATAATCTCTGCCCTTGTGGGAAGCTAGGGTTGGGACCACAGACGGATCACTGAGGCCTTCTGGCTAGCAAGTCTAGCTGAAGCTCAGCTGCAGGTTCAGTGAAAGACCCTGCATCACAGGAAGGAAAGAGAGAGCAATGCAGAGGACAGGAGGCAGACAGCTGACTACAGCTGACCTATTGCTATGGAAAGAGCACATCCATATATACACACAGCAAAATCTTACGAAACACCTTTCTCCCATCTACCAGATGTCAGTGGAAAGTAGTGTGACTTCACTAGATATGTTTAGCATATTTAGAATGTCTAAACGTGTGCTTTGAACACTAGTTTAGTAAATGTAACATTGTATCATAGTGTATTTGACCTAATATATAACTCCTATATTATTGTAATAGTTTTCTTTGCTTTCCAAGACAAGGTTTCTCTGTGAAGTGTTGACCACCATAAATTTTTGTGTAGGTTTTACTATTTTGATTTGTTTTGTTTTCCAGGATGAAACTCTTGGGAAAGCGCTGAAGAGCGCTAGCTAGCAAAGGTAGTTTTGAAATAGATGTTGTGATGGCTATTCTTGCCAACTTGACTACATCTGGAATTAGCTAAAACCCAAGTGGCTGGGTACACCTGTGAGGCATTTTCTAAATTAAATCATCTGAAGGGGGAATGACCCATCCAAGTCTTTTGAGGAGGGACGATTTCCCTTAAATCCGCCACGCCTTCTTGTGGCAGTCGTTATGAAGGACATGGAGAAGGAAACCTTGCTCTTTGCCTGCTTGTCTCAAGAGCAAGTTCATTCCTTCCCCTGCATTGCCGCCTACTTCTTCAGGGCTCTGGGACAGTGTGCGCATCTTAGATCGACTACCCTACCTCTGACCAGGGCTCTGGTGATTTAGGGCTTATTCAGATGTTAATCCAGGATAATCTCTCAGCCTTAGAATCTAACAGGCAAATCCTTTTTCCCATTCAAGAAAATATTAATAGGTTCTGAAAACTTAAAGACTATGCACAGCATACCAGAGCCATCAACTACTGATATGTTTTGAACTTTATCCACACAAAAGATATACTGAAGTCTAACTCATAGTAATTTAGTATTTTTGCCTTAGTTGAAAGCATTTGGGCAGATGTAATCAAGTTAATTACAGTAGGATTACATTCAGTGTAATTAATAACTTCATAAGAAAATAGAAACAAGGGTTAAAAGAGATAATGCCAGGTGAATATGATCAAAGTACATTACATACCTGCATGAAATTGTCAAAGAATAAAATCTAAAACTTGCCAGGGAAGGAGGGTGAGGCAGATTGGAGTTATGCTACCACAAACAAAAACATCCCTGCTTCTAAGTGCAGAAAGATGAGAAAGCATCCTAAAATAGTAAAGGGAGTCCACCAGCCCTGTCACACCTCCATTTCAGACGTCTAGCCTGTATGATTGAGAGAACAATGTGTTACCTAACTTTGGCACTTTTTTTTTTTTTTTTTTTTTTTTTTTTGGTTTTTACGAGACAGGGTTTCTCTGTATCGTTTTGGAGGCTATCGGTCCAGCCTGGCCTCAAACTCACAGAGATCCGCCTGCCTCTGCCTCCCGAGTGCTGGGATTAAAGGCGTGCGCCACCACCGCCTGGCTAACTTTGGCAGTCTTAAGAATGCAGCTGCTAAGAATTCTAATTGTAATAAACTTTTAGATGAAAAGGTTTCCATACTTTTCTGTGGTGCTAATATTAATCTTTGGCCCTCATGAAATGCTTATTTTTAACATTTGTGGATTGGGCCCAAATGTTTATTTTTCTTTATCAGTCTATTTACTTGTGTAACACCAGTCAATACAAAAGTTCAGGGCTGAGGGGATGGCTCATGGGTTTAACAGCACTCGCTGCTCTTGCAGAGGACATGGATTCCTACAGTTGCCAGGGCGACATGGTGGCTGACAGCCATCTGTAACTCCAGCTGCAGAGAATCCAATGCGCACTTCTGGTCCCTGGAGGCACCAGTCATGCATATGATGCACATAAATGTAGGTAAACACTCATATATATAAAACAATACAAAGATTCACATTCCTTTATCCCAGAAAATTGTCATTGTTATTTCAACGTTCAAACTAAGCAAGAATATGTCAGACAGGCTGGCTTAACTTTGAGTTTAAAGTTTACGTAGGGCCCCAAAGTGAGCTGAACTCTTGAGAGGCTCAGTTCTGATTCTCTCCGTTTGTCCTCTGTTGGGGCCCACAGAGATGGCTCTTACAAAGCTTCCCCGTATTCCACCATTAACACCGGCTACCCAGATAGTCGTTTAAGCTAAAAACCTGGGGGCTTCACTCTTGCCTGTTTCTCCACAAGACTTACAATTCCACCTCCACAACAGAACACTAGCCCAATATTTCTGCCTGTGTTACTCTAGAACTGTGCTCCAATTTAACATGTCTAATGTACCAGTGGTTCTCACAGACACAGCAGCATCATCCACAAGCTTGTTAACACAAATCACAGAGTGTCGAACATGCTGGCTGTGACATTTCTCTAGGTATTACTGATGCTGGTGCTAAAACCGTGCCAGCCCAGAGATGGCACTTAAGAATCACTCTAACCTCGACGCAGTAGAAGGCTAAACAGAGCTTCTGAGTAGGCACAGGACAAATGATCGGTAAAAGCACCAGTGTTATCTTTAATTTTAAAGTTATTTCGATTTTTGTACACAAAATTAAATTGCCAAAACTCAGTAATCGTAGTGAACCCACACAAAACCCTATGTTGTCTTTCTTTTCAAGGAGTTTGTTGCCATTGTATGAAAGTGACCCTTTAATCTAAAAGAGTAAAGTGAGGCTCCTATCAGTGAAACACTAAACATGTAACAGGAAGGTCTTACAATGTTTCCAGTAAGCAGGGCGGTGGCCTTTAATCCCAACACTAGGGAGGCAGAGACAGTCAAGCTCTTCTTGAGTTCAAGGCCAGCATGATCTACAGAGCCAGTTCCAGGACAGGCTCCAAAGCAGTACAGAGAAACAACAAAATACAATGTTGCAAGTAGAAGGCAAACAGGACAAAGGAATTACCAGCTATATCTAGCTAAGTCCCCATCTTCCTCAATGGAAATTCTCTGCATAGATCAGCATGTGCTTGAAGAAAGGTATCCCAAGATTTGTAGAAACTTAAAGGTTTGATTTTCTAAGCAAACATGAACGCATTCATTGTACTTAGAAAATAGGTTTGTTGACTTACATTCACTGCCATTTCCTATACATAACCAAAATACAGTTAACCAACTGCTCGGCTCAAGCCAATCAGGTTAGACAAAATGAACCCTGAAGATAACTAGAAAGCAGACGCAGGCTAAAAGACAGCCGCAGCTGTTGTGTATCAGGATCACTCTCGGGGCCTAAAACTGTGATAAGTGAGGGCTAAAGTCAGAGAGACTGCTAAAAGGGAAAAAGAGAAGGACGAGACTTGCCGAAGTTGAACCAGCATTTATCCTAGAGAAGGTGGGAGTCTCCGCAAAGAGCCTACCCGGAGGTCAATAGGCGCGGGGCACTAGATGACCTAGTCAGCTGCAGCAGGGCGGCCTGGATCTCCCGGGGCGACCGTGTGCGGGCGCAGCTCTCCCCGCCGGCTGCGTTCGCCGCCGGCCCTCTTGGAGGTGGGGCGCACCCCAAGCACAGGCTTCCAGGATCGGACCCTCAGAACGGCCGCACGCAAATGAGGGCTCTGGCCACGCGCGTCGTGATTCGCGCGTTGGCGGCGGCGAGCCGGGTTTATGTAAATGAGCGGATTCTGTGCGCGTGCCCCTATTGGGCAGGGAGTAGGGCGGCGAGCGAGCCAATGAGAGCGTGGGGCGTGCAAGCGGGGCTCTGCCTATAAAAGGGCGAGGCGGCGGTGCCGGCGTACAGTTTCCTGTTTGCGATAGCGTGTGTGTTTGAGTTTCCTCGCCATGTCTGGCCGCGGTAAGCAAGGAGGCAAGGCTCGCGCCAAAGCCAAGTCGCGGTCGTCGCGCGCCGGGCTGCAGTTCCCAGTGGGGCGCGTGCACCGGCTGCTGCGCAAGGGCAACTACGCGGAGCGCGTGGGCGCCGGCGCGCCCGTGTACATGGCGGCCGTGCTGGAGTACCTGACGGCCGAGATCCTGGAGCTGGCGGGCAACGCGGCCCGCGACAACAAGAAGACGCGCATCATCCCGCGCCACCTGCAGCTGGCCATCCGCAACGACGAGGAGCTCAACAAGCTGCTGGGCAAAGTGACCATCGCCCAGGGCGGCGTCCTGCCCAACATCCAGGCCGTGCTGCTGCCCAAGAAGACCGAGAGCCACCATAAGGCAAAGGGCAAGTGAGGCCGCCGCTCGCCTCGGCCCGCGTCTCGGACGCCCGGAACTCAAAGGCTCTTTTCAGAGCCACCCACTGGTTCAGATTAAAGAGTTGTGTCACGGTAGACGGCTTTAGCCTTCCCGTCCCGACCCGTCCTTGAGCGTATGGAGGGTGTCGCGTCGCCACTCGCTTTCCGCGTCCCCAATCCCCTTCCCGTCTGCGCTAGGGTTCCCGGGCATGCCGTGCAGCCGGTCTTCGGCCGCCCGAGAGGGTGTCACAGTCATAAGCACTTGCCGCCATATGTCGTTGGCCCGACCCACGTGCACACCCCACACGACCAAAATGCCCGCTAGCTCCCAGCCTGAAAAACCTCAATACACACTCCACCCCTTTTTTTTGAGACTCAGAAGGTTGCCTCAGTGGAAATTTCCCCAAGGTCCTTTCCCCTAGGCAGGGAACCAGGTCTGATTAGAAAGAACATCGGGTCCAGAGTGTTAAGGAAGGAAACCGGCAGGCTGTAGAGATAAATGTAATTCTGACATTGTGGTTTCTTCAGGGAGGAGTTATGCCCGCGCTTCTGACGATTTATTGCTTGCCCAGATCTGCACCTGCAGTAGCTCCACTCCTTACAATACCCTATTACTTTGCTTGCCAAACTTATGTATATAAAAAGAAAGCTGTCCTAGGGCCTGCAAACGTTCAGTTACCCGAGCTGCTGAATCGCCCACAGGCCCCTATGTAAAAAACTAAAAACCTCTTGCGGTTGCATCCAACCGTCTGGTTATTGAGCTCGGGACTTCACCGAGGTATTCAGCCTGAAGCCCGTTTACTTAAGGTCTTTCAAGCCTACCCTCCCGGAAGCTTCCTGCCCTTTCCCGGAGACTGGGACTCGGCTGGGACTCGGCCAGGACGGCGAGTGAGGCCGGGCGTCCGGCTGCCGCTCTCACCCGGTCCTTCGGCAAAGTCTGAGAGGAGGGGGCGCGGCCACATCTGGGGACCGTGGGTGCCTGGGCGGCACCGAGCAACCTTAGCTCTGTGACTTTGGACGCCGGGTGGGCGAGCGGACCGGCGTGCGCGCTCCTTTCCGGCAGAGCTGGGCGGAGCGGGCACTGGCCGTCTACCGGGAGCCAGCAGACACCGCCCCACCCGCGGAGAGCCCGGGCGAGTCAGCCAGCCGCAGGGCGGGACCAGGGGCGGGTTGGCTGGGGGCGGGGCATGTCCGAGCCAATGGGAGCGCCCGGGGCCCGTGACGCCGCGGCCAATGGTCCGGCAGCGCGGGACTTTCAAGCCGCTTGCCCCGCCCCGCCCAGGGGGGACTGCGTCTATAAAGACGGCGGACTCCGGTCCCGGGCAGGTCTCCGCCGTCCCTCCTGGTCTCGGTGTCTCCCTTCTCTGCCATGGCCCGCACGAAGCAGACCGCTCGCAAGTCCACCGGCGGCAAGGCCCCGCGCAAGCAGCTGGCCACCAAGGCTGCCCGCAAGAGCGCGCCGGCCACGGGCGGCGTGAAGAAGCCGCACCGCTACCGGCCCGGCACCGTGGCGCTGCGCGAGATCCGGCGCTACCAGAAGTCCACCGAGCTGCTGATCCGCAAGCTGCCGTTCCAGCGCCTGGTGCGCGAGATCGCGCAGGACTTCAAGACCGACCTGCGCTTCCAGAGCTCGGCCGTCATGGCGCTGCAGGAGGCGAGCGAGGCCTACCTGGTGGGGCTGTTCGAGGACACCAACCTGTGCGCCATCCACGCCAAGCGCGTCACCATCATGCCCAAGGACATCCAGCTGGCCCGCCGCATCCGCGGGGAGCGCGCCTGAGCTCTCGGTCCCCGTTCCCTCCCACCAAAGGCTCTTTTCAGAGCCACCACGTGCGCCCGGAAGGAGCTGTTCACGATTCCTCTTGGGGTGGTTTTCGCGGTGGTTGCTCATCAGCGACTATCTGGGACTCGTTGCACCCGTAGCCTTTTCTAAGAAAGTTTAGTTTCTCGTGTCTTATTTACTTCAAATAGTGTAGTTGCTATCCCGAGGTGCGATTACTGTGGCCCAGAGGCAGAGGCTTGAGAAAATCTTGCATTTCCGGCCACTGAATGGTTACTTGGAGTAATTCTCACCGGAAGTGTTCTACACTGTCAGGCCCTGCCCTGAGTAGCCAGCACCTAGGAGTGGCTGAGTGACTTGTAACTAAGCTCATCTAGATCAGTCAGCCTTTTTTTTTTTTTTTTTTCTTAGACAGGGTTTCTCTGAAGCCTTGACTGTCCTGGAACTTTCCCCGTAGACCAGGCTGGCCTTGAACTCCAGAGATCTGCTTGCCTCTGCCTCCCGAGGTCTGGGATTAAAGGCATGTGCCTCCACCGCCCGGTTTTAAATCTTTTGTTCTGTTTTTTTGTTTGTTTTAGAGCCGCCCTGTCTAAACTAGCTGAACATGCAGGAGACGTGGCTTCCAGTTATCTCATGACTGCCGCACTAAATTTCTAGACTTATGTAGATGGCTCCTTCCCCTATCTGCTAGGCAATGTCTGTGCCCATGGTCGGTGGACCACTATATCAGAAATAAATTCCAGTGACACTCACCTTCCCTCTAACACTTGGAATTATCCTTCTTGTTAGCCTCCTAGAATTCAGCAATTATTACTATGATCTGATCTTAGGCTTCTGTGGCAATGGTTAGTTTCTCTCCTTATTTCCATTTAATTTACTCTTAAATTGCCAACCCATCTGTGGATGTCTGTGTATACATACATACACATATGTATGTGTATATATGTGTGTGTAAATATATGTGCATCGTTTATCACAGACGTTTCTGTACAGAAACAGACTCTGGATGTCAAGGAGGATCTGCTATCCCTTGCCCTGAGGAGGGTCTTCTGCAGGGTTGGCTGTTAGACCTGAGACTCAAAGACCACAGTAAATAACTCAGGTCACTGTCGGGTATCTGGTACCTTCCCTCTTGTCTACTGCCTGAAATTTTGTGGATGTCTTTCTGGAAGATTTGTCTAAATATTTGACAAATTATCAGCCCAAGGCTCTTTGAATTTGGTGATACATGTGGTCAATGACCAGGGACACAACGTCATTCACCTCTGCTACCTGGGAGCCCCCAGAGCTGTGACGAGGATTTGAGATTTGTTCTGCCCCAAGTAAAGATAGGAAACAAAGATAGCCTGTTAACTGGGGTAGGGATCAGAGTCTGCATTACGTCCGACTCCTAATCCTCTTGATCATTGACACTTGCGTCACCGAGGAGTGGAGAAACTGAAGCAGAAACACTTTTTAAAATACTTCCCTTTTGAAAGGAGTGGCAGAGGGGGAAACTGAGGATGGGACTGTGGTCACTCCTGACAGTGTTCCTCCTAGTTTTCAGCCCTAGCCCCACTGGGATTTTCCCATTGTATTTTTTGGTGAACTGAATTATGCTCCTGGTCCCCCCCCCCCCAGTCATTTGTGGAAACCCTACGCCAAGTACTTCAGTGTGGAGCCTTTAAATCAGCTGTGCCTATTACAAAATGGTGTTTGTAAATGGGTATTAGAACACACGGGGGTGACAGGAAGGCAGTAGGAAGGGGGCCCATGCAAGCCAGGGAAAAGGCTCGATGTCTCTTGGTTTTGTAAGTCTAGTCTCCAGAATTGTGAGAAACTTTCTCCGGGTTAGACTACCCAATATGTGACATTTGGAGTGACCTGCTATGGTTTGAGCTGTGTTTCCTAGAGTTTTCTGGGTTCAGGATTATGCCATTCAAAAGTCTCCAGCGTGGCTATGTTGAGAGGTGAGGGGGGTCTTAAGTAGGTAGGGTCTACTGCAGTATAATTAGAAAGGACATCATTCTCAGAATTCTCCGCTCAGCTGCCTTAATTAAGCCTGGTCTTTTGTAGAAGGAAGAAAATAGTGTGTGCTTACTCTCTGAGGAAATAACATTATTTGACCAAATTCCTCAGCCTGGAACCAGGCTTCCCCAGGACATAGCCACCTTAGAGACAACACACACACAGAGAGAGAGAGAGAGAGAGAGAGAGAGAGAGAGAGAGAGAGAGAGAGAGAGAGAGAGAGAGAGAGAGAACACCCAACCCTCAAAACTTTCAGAGCAGAGGCCATATAATTTGGCTCTTAGTGTATATGCACACAAATGCATAAAGAAGACTAAGGTTTAAGTGTTCCAACCATAATTTTATGCGAGAACTCCTAAACTAGAAAGGATGGCTGTCGAGAGGTGAAGAACACGAGGGGAGAGAGAGGATGAAGGAGGCAACGGTGGTTTCATCCGGGCCACACTGTGCAATGACACTTGGAAGTGACAATATCGTGTTTCTTAAGCTCAGAGTCTGCCAATGGTTGAGGCAGAATCACAATCACCTCACAGAGCCGGCAAGGACACTCAAGTATTTTATCCAAATTCCCACAAGCACTGTGTGTCAAGGCAAAAGTATGAAAGGGCCCCAAAGTTCATAGACTTAAGGATAAAACTCAAACAGTTGACATTGGAAGCTCACAGGGGAAGTGGCAGGAAGCACGAGCGGCCCAGGGCTCAGAGTGACTCATCTGCCTCCCGGCTCAACCCCACAACATGTAGGGACAGACTCCTCCTCTCACATAACACCAATCTTTGAATTTAAGGCCTAAATTAAGGGTGATTTCATTTAAAAGCTCATGCCCAGTTACATATGTGAAAATCCTGTTTCCAAATGAAAAACAAAATACCCATGGGCATACTGCAATGGACTTTAATTGGACTGATATATTTAAGCTAAATATGAAGAAAGATTACCTGGAGTAGTTTGGTTCAAAAAAAAAAATCTTGCACTCAAGGTCAAGTGGAGGCCTTAGGGACCAAAGTTCTTGAGAAGAAGTCATCAGCACACAGAAGCTTGCCTGGGTCTGGATTGGGAAAAGAGCAGAAAGGATCTCTTGGACAAGAAAAGGAATTAAAGTTTGAGGGACCAAAAATTAAAATTAATAAAAGTTTAAAAACCCGGGTCCTAAATCTATACAGAGAATGGGAACTTCTAATGGAAGAGGAAACTCTTTAAATCAGGAGTGCCATGGCTGGCACCTGAGCCCTGCTCTCAGAGAAGGGAGGTAACGTCCACCACTCCTGCTAACATTCCTTGCTAATTGCTGGTTGTAAAGATCCCCTGC